AAGTTGGCTGAGGCTATGATGCTGAACCTCCGTGGCAACATTGACAACTACGTCTTGCGTTTCATCGAGTTCGCCATGACTGTCCTCACTGCTCAGGATGTCAAGGTCAAGGCTTACAAGATCCACCTTATGGAGCTGGTCATCAACTCTATCCACTACAACCCCATTCTCACTCTCCACATCCTCGAGACTAAGGGCTGGACGAACCGATTCTTCAGCTTGTGGTTCGGTAGCATGTCCAACTTCACCAGGGTGCACGACAAGAAGCTTTGCATCGTCGCAATTGCGGCTCTGCTCAGCCTCAAGGCCGACCAGGTCCCTCAGAGCATTGCTGTCGGATGGCCTCGCTTGCTGCAGGGCGTAACCGAGTTGTTCAAGACGTTGCCTGCCGCTATGAAGAACCGCGAGGAGGCACTTCGGGATGACTACCACCTTGACGCAGGCACCTACGACTATGGCGAAGAGGATGAGTGGGCTGAGGATGAGGCCAACTGGAACGTCGAGGACGAGCCCGAGGAGGAGGAGACCAACGAAAGCCGCGATGAGAGCACCGCGTACCTCGAGTTCTTGAACGAGGAGGCGCAAAAGTTCAGCCGAGGCGTTGACGACATTGAGTCCGAGGACGACCTTGGAGAGGACAGCGTTCTGCTGGAGTCTCCCCTGGACAAGGTGGACCCCTACCAACTTTTCAGTGCGACTTTGATAAGTAAGTTCCAGACTTTGCCGTTTTGCTTGAACAGAGGCTAACCCCCGAGCAGAGATGGAAGAGGAGCAACCTCAATTCTACCAGTCCCTTGCGTCACATCTCACCGCCGAGGACCAGGCCGCCCTGCAGGGCGTCATGCAAAAGGCGACCGAGAACGCCCAGGCTGCCCAACTGGCTCTTGCTCAGCAACAAGGTGCCGCCCCTATCAACGGTAGCGCTAGCTAAGAGCCCTACCGAAGATTTCATCGATGACCGAGCCGGGCCCCTCATCCCGCTGTGAGGATCGTGTCAAGAGTATAGTGATCTTTGACCGCCCCAGCTCAGAACTTATGAGGGAGACGCGAGATGATCCGAAGAGCCACCGCCGCAATGCAAAGTCGGTGGATAAGGCTCGAAGCTGCCAACTGTCGATGTAGACGAGCGGCTGCAGGAAAGACTGACGAGGCAAAGATTTACGATTACCCCATTCCTAAAAGATTACAAGAGGTCCAAAAGGAAGAAGATCTTCAAGAGCATTAGAGCGTGCAAACGATGGCCGGAGGCCAGCTGGATATGAGAGGGAGATGTATGGAAAGACTGAGTGGGTCCCCCGCAAAAAAAAACACAGCCTCCCCTGTCGTCGGCAGTTGTGGAGGAGGGAGTAGGAAGGGGGGAAGACGGGACTTGTTGTTGTTTCTGCTCGGATTTTCAATGGGCGTCACAGAGGGTGTTCCGATTGTCGTCGTCATGGCCGTCTTTTTATTTTAAACCGGCGGCAGGCATAGCATCGTACGGGGGGCCCGCGTGTTGTGTGGATGTATAGCTCATGATGCCCCAGGTCGTAAGTAGTTAAAAATTCCCCCAAAACCCTCCAACAATTCAAAAATCATTTCAACACTTCTTGGTCCTTTGGGTCCTTGTTCTACTCGAGTGATAGGGACGTGAAGAATTGTTTATGACTGCTTAGAAGTTCCATGCCACATCCTGATTCCGAGTCCCTTCCTTCCGATGCCGCCCCGTTGCCTCGACGGATTGGCCCAAGCCAATGATACTGAAATGCACATGGCTTGTATGTTGAAGAAGGAGGGCTAGTGACACGACAGGGAAGACGGCGGCTTACCCATGTGGATCAAGATATCTTGCTCTTTTGGTAGCCAGGCCATGTCCGTGCCTGTCTACCCTTACATCCCGTCTAGGACTGTCGCTTTCTGCTGCGAGGTAGGTAGGCGGTCATGCAACTGATGAGGGTATGTTCATAGCGGCCCACCTTGCAAAGGTACGTGATTTACTTTTTTGTGTGGACATCGACCAACTCAACCTGTTGCGTCGGCTTGGGACAACATCACCAACCAACCAAGTGAGAAAAAAATGCAAAAATAAAAATACATGCAACACCAGGCATTCGCCAGTCGTCACCGACCTGACTACTACTCTGGCCCTCACTGGCTTGTCTATGGGAGAGCGGACGGGATCCCGAATTCTCCAGTGGGTATGGTCGCATGTGTTGGATAAGGTGGTGGGGGATGATTATGGAGGGAGAGGCGGCTGGGTAGGGATGTTTATGCCTCTGCTGGCCTGTCATCAATTGTGGGTTCCTTGAAAATCGAACATCAATCTGTATTGAATTTCTCTCTGAGCAAAGGGAAAAGAATCCGAATTGGTGGTGCGATGAAGTGAAGGGTGTCGGACAAAGACGTGAAGATAGGATATTCCACGTTATTAACTTGCGTGCCATCAAGTTAAAGCCGTCATACGCCTTTCAAACCTTGTCCCAAGGCCGTTTTGCACTTTGAGTAATAAGTGAGAACAGTCCGAATATATTATCGCTGTTGTCGTTGAACTTGCCTGGTAGTCAGTCGTACCAGTGTTCTGCCCACGATGAATGGCCCCCCTTTTCACCCTGGCCATGGGAGTAATAGGAAACCTTGCGAAGGGCGCGATACTTCTGAAGGAAATGACCTTGAAAAAATTCTTCCAACTACCAATCCTCAGAAGGTAAGATAGGAGGCCTTGAGACTGAGGGAACGGGCACCTTGGTCTTACTCAGGGTGCCAAGTCACTTTAGTGTGAAGTTTACCAAGTTTGAGAAGCAACTCAGTCGCTAATAACTTCCATGCGTCTCTACATCCAGATACCTCGAAGATACCGGATCCTATTTGAACCATAGCCCAAGAGAATTGCCCACAACTGATTGCCCTACAGTAGAAGGTTATAAATCCCCTCTGCCTCTCCGTCTTCTTCCGTCTCGCCAACTTTGCCTTCCAGCACAAGTCACACAAGCGAAAACAAGACTGACCACTCTCCCTCGCGGAAGGCACGTAAAAAGCTGGGTATAAATCACGATTCATTCTCGCTTCCCTCATCGAACGTGCCACCTTCCACACCAATAAAGTCAACCACGCTTGGGGTTCTACTTGCCTCATCATAATACTCTTACATTTACAGCTTAGAATCATTCAACAAGACGACAGGCACAGTTTCTGACGAACAACAAGTTTTGCGGCTTGATCGCTCGCGGCTCAACACGTCTTCGGCTACGCTCCATCTCTCTGGCACTCGGAACTGAGATCCTGCAAACTATCAACGCATCGAAGCGTGTTCCGGGAAATACCACACTACCTGCCATTTCCAAGATAGGAAGCCCCCGATTGCTATGATTCGAAATTGGTCCTTCCTAAAAGCTTTCGAAAGGCAAGCTGAGCCGGAAAACGCTCCTTCTTCTTCTTCTTCTTCTTCTTCTTCTTCAGGTTTCGGCCCTCCTCCTTCTGCCTTTTCTCGGCCTTCGAACGTTGCGACTTATCCATCCCCAATCCATCTTCCTCATCTAAACATGAGTACGTCAGCGCCTGCAGAGATGTCTTCCCAGCAGAGCCAGGCCAAACCGGTGACGCCGCCGACGACATTGACGGCACCTCCTCCGGTTGTGGGACCTTCGCCTTCAACTTCGTTCTTCGCGACTGCTGAATTTCAGGCAATCTCACCCTTGGCACCCGCTGTCAAGGGAACGCCGCAGCCGGCTGTCCCTTCCCAATCCGCTTCTGTTGACCAAGTGACAGCCAAACCAAGCAAGAGTGCTAACACCAACGACTCGCCTCGGGCGACTGCAACTTCACAGCAGCACCCTCCGGCACAAGTTCCTACTCAGAAGGAAGCGACTTCTTCCTTGAAGTCCGCCATGATGCCGGCAAATGGAAGACCCAAGCCATACAAGGGTGAGAAGTTCGATGGTTGGAAGAGATGGGCCAGGCGCCAGAAAGATCCCAGCTATGAACGCTACCCAGCCTCAAGCAAGGTTGTCGACACTCACATTTCCGCTGTCCTTTGGGACTCGGATAAGAAGAAGCCAAACGCACTCAGTGAGCAGAGAGCGTATGGCGACTTCATGAAGGACTGGAAGGCAACCCAGTACAAGCAACGGCCCCCTTCGGCGCCGCTGATGGAGTCGATCCGACTTATCAACAGTCTCAGACTACCGCAGGATATCGTCACCATGCTCGAGATTGCTGGCTGGGACGCGACCAAATGCTGCAATCCGACATTGCCACACTCTGAGAAGAAGAAGCAGCCTGCCAGAGGGTCGCCCAGTTTGAAGCGTTCCTCTGAGAAATTGGAATCCAAGTCGGATAACAATGCGGAGGTGGTTCTGGCTGAAGCCAAGCAGCAAAAGAGGGGATATCCCTTTGATAACGCGATCTCCTTGCTCGAGGATCCCGAAGATGAGGATGTTCAGCCCTCCGGTCAATCTACTCGGCAGGCTTCATCTTCTGCGGAAGCTGCAATCGCCAGTCCCAAGAAGGCCTTGCCGCTGCTAGCCACTTTACAGCCACCAAAGCCCCCCAGGGTCATTGCCAGCCAGAACGGGGAGTCAGCGGCCGAGTCGTCGGCCGGTCTTTATCTCCAAGGCATGCCCGATACCGAACCTGAACAGGCTTCAAAGATCGATGGCGTCGCCAAGTCCGCCGAACAGCTGACGAACGAGACGAAGTCAACTAAATCGATCAATCAAGACGTCAGACTCTTGTCCAACAAGCCCCAAAGTCCGTCATCGTCCTCCTCTAAGAGAGGGAAGCGAGTTTCTACGAAGGACCTTCGACGAGGCCTGCACAAAGTCAAGAAGCTGGCTGCTCTTTCGGGTAACCATACTACTCAACTTCAAGACCAAGGCGGTCAGCTCCTCGCCCAGACACAGAAACTCGACAACCTTGAGCGGGCTACTGGAGACCAGGCCAACAATATCTACAAACTCGCCATGGAATTGGAGGCGCACACAGCTTTCCTCAAGAAACAAAATTCCGCGATGACCCAGCTCCGCAACGACAACCAGGCCCTCCGTACATGTCTCCAGGACGTGCTCTTCCCCCTCGCCCGGGCTGCCAATGCCATGCAAAAGTCGACCAAGAAGGACAAGAGAACGCTCGAGTCGAATGCGAAGAGAGCCTATAAGGAATTGAAAGAGTTCGAGGCTGCGGGCAGGAACGCCGAGGCTGTGAAACGAGGTACCCGGAATCTCGGTCAGGTTCTGGGGGCTTCCCAGGGCGATAGAATGGAAGTGGATTGACAGCATCTTTGATTTGAGCTTGGACACGCTGGCGGAAACAACCTGGTGTCAAGGGAGGAGTGATTTTGCTGCGGGATGGATTTGAAGCATGGAGCGCATTTGGAGAGTGCCTCCTTACATGGGAGGGCGAACTATCACCATCATCTCTTTGGGTCATCAACAACATCTAAGTGAGGAGATATTTCCAATACCAGCGGGAGAGCTGAATTCAGCATTATAGATAAACCCGTACGCATCTCTGCTTTCTCGGTAAATCAAATACAGCGATTGATTACATGATTCGTATCCTCTCCTCCTTGCTCTGGGATCATAAGTCAGTGGAGTGACTGGCCGACGGCGTAACCAAAGCCAACGGGCCGATGAAGAGACCAAGGGCGACGAGGGCGGGGATACTTGCTTGGGAAGCCTTCACTCGCAAAGAAGACAGCACATACATCACAACGGCTGGGAACAAGTAGAATCGCGCATATCAACAAGACATAATTATGGGCCTTGGAAACGTTGAATTTTGAGTAGAGGTAAGTTTGAGGTAAGAACCAACCAAGCCTGACCTCTCGCCTTATGACAGCGATGAAAAAATAAAACCCAAGACTCCATGACAATGCAAGCTGGAAAAAAAAAAAGATTGAAAAGGCCATGGAGACGCATGCCAATTTCGCGCGCTCTCGCAACAGGCGGACAACCTCGCGATCGACCAAAATGAGCAACTTCAAGTAGACCTCTAACGCATGCGATGATGATTTCTGCGTTTGGGAACGTCGTACCCATCCTTCCGGGGATCATTCGTCAGAGAATGGAAGAACAAGATGCCAATGTTCCCGTCCATACTTTCTTCCACCCCTTCCACCCTTCGACAAACCTCCATTTGTCCCGCCCCCTATTCCGTTGGTCATCGCATCGACATCCGTCCCAACTCGAATGGCAGGCCAACACTACAGCTTTCATCGCATAATTCCACCTTGGTATTTTCAAAACAACCATAAACTTTCGTGACTCTGACATCATTTCGTTTCATCTTTCAGACAGAACCCCCTTCCGTAAACAAGCTTCTGGCTCACTGACAGCAAAACCAACATGGAAGCAAAAAAAATCGAATCAAAAAACAAAATCGCATTTCATTATTTTTTCCATGTATCGTAGAGTTCAGTTTTCCTCGTCATCTTCCTCAATCGGCGCCGGTGTCCGTCGCTCTGTACGTCTCTTGGGTCGTCGATGGCGTGAACTGCTAATGTTACTCGCCGAATCGTCGGGGGCCAGCTCAAAGTCGTCGCCTCCCCATTCGCTGTCGCTGTTGGCGTCATAGTCGCCTTGCGCCCAGCTGGGCCGCTCGTAGCCTGACGACTGTGAGTTGCCGGAGCTCGGATTAGGCAGGACATCGATCCGCCGGCGGCTTTGAAGGCTATGCATCAATCCTGCTCCGCGGTTGCGCAATCCCGTCCGGACAACTTCGGCCCTGAGGTGAAGGGCTTCGAACGCATCCTCCAACGCCTCCATACCCTGGTAGATTTCTCGCTCTACCTCTGCCAAGACGGCCATCTCCATCTCCTCGTCTCGTGATACTGCCTGCTTGTTGGCCGCCGCGGATGATGCATTGCTCACAAAGGACGCAGGGGTAGCGCCGCGTGAGTAGGCAGAGAATGGTGTAGTGTTGCGGGATGCCGAGAAGCCTGGAGTTCCTCGCACACTGGGGCTCATAGTCCCTGGCCGAGAGGGGTAGTAACCACTTGCAGGGGTGGCACCACGGGATTCGGCCGTGGGAGTGTCGTCGCCATCAGCCCCAGACCAGAGGAAGCCATCGAATCGTCCAGAAGTCAAGATCTCCCATTCTTGCGTGTTGATGTCGGACATTGTGACAAGGAGATCGTGGGTGTGGGGGTTCTTGACGAGATACATGGCAACCTCTGCGTCTCGGGGTACTTGTTGCAGTCTGTAAAGACGTTGTAGAGCCAAGCCGGCTCTGACAAGGAGATCTGGGCGGGCGCGATGCAATGGTGTAGGAGCCCTTGTCGCCGGCTTCGGGTGGTTAGAGCCAGCCAGAATCGCGTTAAAATACGGCTGATCCTCAGGGTCCATGTTTGTAAGGATGGCAAACGTGAGTGTCTCGTCGTCGACATCCTGAGGCGGCGGCGCGGTGGTCTCGCCGCAGGTGTTGAGCCACTTGTCCACGGCTCCCCTGACTTTCTTAGACTGTCTGAGGTAGTGCTCACGGAACTCCTCGGCAATATCAGGATCGATCTTGACTGGTGAGTCGGGCCGCGGTGGCAGCTCTGCTGACACTTCTGCGGCATTGGATCCCAAGCTGGCCAGGTCAAACGGCGGCCACTGTGGAAGATCAATGCGACCACTAACCCATTCGAGGACCTCTCCCCAGCCGAGGCCACGATGTTGAATATCGGGGCCTCTCTCACATACCACACAAGTGCATCCGTGCTCAGGAAGCTCTCTGGAAAAGACGTTTTCAAGGCGGTCTAGAAGACGGCGGGCTACTGATCGATGACCAGTTGCAACTGCTACGGAGCCGTTGCGGTTGAGAACCGAGTTATACTGGTCCAGGAGGTTGAAAAAGGGTGCGAATAGAGTCTGCGGGCCAACCAGGGGCGGGTTAGATGGCCGGGCGCCATTCTGGCGAGGCAGAACAGAGAGAAACGTTTTCGGAATAGACTGGATCAGGCCGCCGTTCTGTAAGAGGTAGTCCACCCGTGGTGCTTCCTGCACATCCAACGCTGGAGGTGGTGGCGGGGGAGGGGGAGGCCCCGTTGGAGGAGGCATATCAGTCATTGGAGTGGCCGATGGTGTGATGTCGTTCTCGGGGTAGACCTGTGGAGGAGGCCCCGGAGGCTTGTCGCTCATAGCGAAAGGCGGTGGGAATGGTGGTGCTTGCGTGGGGGTTCTAGGAGATGAGTCCTGCAGACTTTCTGGAGATGAGTCGCCATCGTGATACTCTGGGCGCCGGCTTTTCTTGCTCGAAGAGCTTCGCTTCGAGGAAGATCTGGAAGTGCTCGGCTTGATGTTCAAGCTTTCCTGCACACCGGGTGGAAACGCCGGCGACTTTACGTACGTTGCCTGACTGCTAGTCTTCGACTTGAAGCTCACCCGGGACTTATCGTCGGCTCTGGAGCCGGACCTCGACAGACCGCTGAGACGTGAGCTCGGCCTGTCGTCCCGATCTCTCTTGGATGTCTCACCACTCAGTCTCGAGCTCGAACGCTCCTCACGCACCTTCTTTGAGGACTCCTCGGGCGTGGCGGATCGTCTCTTGCCCGACAAGTCGGTCTCGGGCGGACTAGGCGGCCTCGACTCCTTCTTGGACGAACTTCTGCGCTGCTTCTCGGAGTGATCGACGCTCTGAGATCGCTTGAGCTCGCTGTCGCCCAGATCTGTGGCTTCGGGAGTGAACGGATCGGCCCTCCTCGTGGCGCCGACGCCTGATCCTGATACATCCTCGCGACTATTGCGGACGGCTTCCTTGCTGTGGGCCTTGCTGAAGGTCGGGTAGGGAAGGGAGATGCGGTCAGTCGACGCCGGACCAGTCAGCGAGGTCCGAGACATTTCGGGAATGAGGTCGGTCATGGAAGAGGAGCGATCGTGGGCGCGGTCTCTCTCTCGGTCGCGGTCTCGTTCTTCGCGGGTGCGGTGACGGCGGTGGGAGTGGGAATGGAGATCACTGCCGAGGCCGCTGCCGTCGGCGATTTTCGATTTTGAGGAGCGGGAGCTCACGCGGTGGGATCGGTGTTCCCTGTCTCCCTTTTCTCTGTCGGTCCTGCTGCTGCGCTCTGATTTGCTTCGGGAGGCCTTCTTCTCGGTCTTTTCACCCTTCTCGGCCTCCTTGCGCGGGCGCATGTCCCCAAAGTCGGGGAGGGGGATTACTCGGCCATCAGCGTCGACATCGACCTCGACGTCACGATCTTGGGAGGACATGGCGGAGCATGGGTGCGTAGCCCGAGAGAGCTAGGCGAGTTGCTGTGCTGCGGGGATTTCTTCGAGCCGTAAGGTAGTAGAGAGGTTGACAGTGACGGTGACGGGGTCGGGTCGAAATGCCGTCGGCGCAGCGAGTAAAAGGCAAAGCACTGTGGTAGTGAGCGACAGCGCAGCTTGCCAAAGAGGGTGGGTAGGAAGGTTTCTGTTCGCCAAAAAGGCAAAGCGGACCGTCGTTCGAGGTTCAGGGTGGAATGGTTCAGTGTTTGAGTTCTTCGTTCTTCGTTCTTCGTTCTTCGTTGTCGAGAAAGCCTGGCGGGAAGAAGGAAGAGGGAACCGAAGCAGGCAGGACCTGGTCTGGGGTTTTGCTCACCGACCCTCGTCGTCTTGAGCAAGAGGGCGGGAGTTGTCACAAAACTGGGGAATTTCTGGAAAAATGCGCACCCCTGACTTGGACCGAACGGTAAGGTGGCGGGGGAAGAATCCGTTTGGCCCGCCGTTTGCTGCGTCTAATGTTTGGAGCGTCACGAATGGGGTTTAACTTTTCGAGTTGTCGTAGTTGTCGTCTTCGTCGGGTCGTGGGAAAATGGGAAATGATGCAAGAAGGACGAGAGAAGTAAGTGACGAGACGGAAGATGGATGCCCCCAACCGAGGGAGTGAATGAGTGAGGTGCACCTTCACAGTCATGGGCAGGCCAAGGCCAGGCGGGAGGGATGAGTCTAAGGTAGTGTACAGAGTAGGTACTCCGTACAGGTGTGTGGGAGACGGGAGTGGAAAGACGGGCGGTTGCAAGCAGTTGACGAGCAACGCAGCCGAATGTGATTCGATCAGAGGGGGAGCACCACCCCTGTAAGGCGTTGGAGGGAACTAACTGGGCGGGTTGGTTGGCACGTTGGTACTTTGGGTACAGGTATCCGTAGGCTGGCTGGCTGGGCGGCCCACACTTGAGAGGCAGGTACCTTTCCACCGTCTTTACCCTACCTTAGGTAGGGAGTACTGCATCTATGGATATTGGATCCGTACGCTACCGCTTCTTGCGTGCCTCACAGAGTAAAAGCAAAGGAGGGGGTGGAGAAGAATAACGGGGAAATAGATGTCCAGGGAAGGCTGGCGAAGAGTGAATCAGAGCAGGCGGTGACACATGTCCTTCTGCAACGCATTATTCAGTACGGATGTCTAGACGGAAGTGTTGATTGAATGAGTGATTTGGTGAGAGAGAGGAGCACGACGAGGTAGACCTGTGGCCAGAACCTGACGTGGCACCGGGCTGAGTTGCAACGCAGTTGCGCAATGATACCGTGGGAAGTCCCTTGGGATCCACAACGGGCACTGCCAGAAGCTCGGGCCACACCCACCACCACACATCCTGCCGTCAGACAACGTTTCTTCACACGGTGTACAGCAAGCGTGTGAAACGGTTTAAAAAAAAAAAAAAAACCACCGTTTCAAAAGCTAGCGAGAGCTTGATATCGCACGGTGTGACATCCTCTTCAATTTCGCACCATCAGCTCCCAAGGATTTTTAAACACCGGACATGATCTGCCTACCTTACTTTAGCACCTTGAATACATAGACCAGCACGTTCCTCAAGGATTTTGGCGTCGCGCCTGACGTGCCTGGCTCATCCAGACTAGATAAACCAAAGGCGGCTGCACTGTCTCGGGCCAAGCACTGCTCGAATGTCCAACCACTCTCTCTACCTAAGTCGCCCGTCATACATAATCTCGGATAACCTCGAGCAAGAATGGTCAAAACGGGACCCTATCAACCGATTTTGTCTCGAGGCACCTCGCCTTCCTCCCGTCATGACTGTCTCTCGCTTCGCATTTCGAAAAGGCAAACGATCAAGTTCATAGTACGGGTACAAAAAGCCGCAGTCGCAGTCACAGTGCCCCCCCCCCATGAGAGAGACAAAACTGCCTCACATTGAAATGCCCATGTCTCACGTACCTGACTAGACCTACACATGTAGATACTTCCTGACCTTACATTTGGCACCAACACATGATGCACGCACTAGGTAGGTTCGCTACACTTCCCATCAAATAAACTCGACGAACCAACCTCACCTCCAAACACCCCATCTTACACACTCTCAAGTACCTACCTACAGTACAGAGTGAAATACCTTACTTCCCAAAATAAACCCATCCTGGCCCAACCTTACCCCTCCCATCTTGAACCCTCCAATCTAATCCACCTCGACCATGTGTTGATACCCTCCCCCTTGCCCCGAATGCGCGCGAACCCGGCCGTCCATCGGGCACCAACAAAACGAACCGCTGCCAATCACCGCCCCGCCCAGCGCTAAGCGCCCGGGCCATGCATCTCGTGCGCACCACCATCATTATCAACCAACCCACCATCACCTGTATTGTATGCCATTATCCGAGGGTTGTTCGAAGTCCTAGGTAAGGTAAAGTACAACCACTGGTCAAAAGTCTGGTCACACCGTTAAGGACCTACCACCAAAACCCCGAAAGCTCAAGATAAGCTTATTATTTATATTTTCATAAATAGTCTATTATCGCCTATATATACTACAATATCGGGATAATATATGCTCGTAACACATATTTATCGTTAAAAACGGGGACCTTTTTTGGTGGTGGCTTAATGGTGTGACCAGACTTTTGACTAGGCATTGTAGGTGTAAGTAGCTACTTGATCTCGACTGATTGTGTTTCCTGTAAGCATATCTCATCTGCAACCATCACGTTGGATATTTCCTCGTTTCACCACCACAGCTATCTGGTATCGATCCCACGGAGCAGTATCATTCCAATGTCGTTCCATTCCATTCAGCTATACTTCGGAGAACAGTGCTATCCAAAAGACACAGATAACCCCTACACCCCCTAGCCAACTATATGATGCTATGTAAAACCATCTCTTGTGTAAAATAACTCGTAAAAATCATCAAACAACTTTTCTTATCCCAAGGTTGTCTTTGAAGGTCTCAACTCCGATATATATATCCATCCACCCGAATTTTTTTGCGCTTTGAGAAGAGGGGGTCTACGCGCATTTACGCTCTATGCCGTATAAATCACAACTTATATCGCTCTGTAAAATGTCTGTAAGAGTAAGAAAAACATTTACAAACGGTCCAGGAGACCCTGACTCTCGAGGAGCAGGACAATCTGGTGGACAATGGAGCGGACCGTCTGCTGCTCGAGGTTGACGACGAGGTCAGCCTTGGCGGGCGCCTCGTACGGGTCGTCGACACCGGTGAAGCCCTTGATGTCGCCGTTGCGCGCCTTGGCGTAGATGCCGCGCTTGTCCGTCTTCTCGGCGTACTCGAGCGGGGTAGCGACGTGCACGAGGAAGAAGGGGCCGGCCTTCTCGACCAGCTCGCGAGCCTTTTGGCGGGCCTCGTCGAACGGAGCGATGGGGGCGGCGATGACGGCGGCGCCGGCGCGGGTGAGCTCCGAGGCGACGAAGGCGATGCGGCCGACGTTCTTGTCGCGGTCCTCGCGGCTGAAGCCGAGCTCGGAGGAGAGCTCGTGGCGGACCGTCTCGCCGAGGAGGAGCGAGACGGAGCGGCCGCCACCCTGGTTAAGGGTGACCTGGAGAGCCTTTGCGATCTGGTCCTTTCCGCTGTTGAGCAGGCCGGTGAGGAAGATGGTGAAACCCTTTTGGGCGGGGAGGGGGTTCTGCTCGCGCAGGACCTTGACGACCTCGGGGTAGGAGAACCACGCGGGGATCTCCTTGCCGGTCTTGAGGCGGTTGCGGAGCTCAGTGCCGGAGATGTTGGCGGTGTGGGTGCCGGGGGCGATCTCGTTGGCGGGCTGGTACTCGTCGCGGTCGGGGATGTAAATCATCTCCTGGAACTCGACCATGGTGATGCCGAGCTCGTCAGAGTACTTCTGAACGGCGACCTGGGCGTCGTACGGGCCGTAGTGGTCCTTGCCGTTCTTGTTCTTGCCGGGGCCGGCGTGGTCGCGGCCGACAATGAAGTGCGTGGCGCCGTGGTTCTTGCGGATGATGGCGTGCCAGATGGCCTCGCGGGGGCCACCCATGCGCATGGCCAGGGGCAGCAGGGCCAGGGCGGCCATGCCGTTGGGGTATCTAGGGAGGAGGGCCTTGTAGACACGAACACGGGTGAAGTGGTCAATGTCACCGGGCTTGGTCATGCCGACGACGGGGTGGATGAGGACGTTGGCTTGTTGGGAGCGGGCGGCGCGGACAGTGAGCTCTCTGTGAGCGCGGTGCATGGGGTTGCGAGTCTGGAAAGCGACGACCTTGTTCCAGCCGAGCTTCTCGAAGTGCTGTCTCAACTCGGCGGGAGTGACTTTGGGTACTCGTTAGTCGCGATATTCTGGGCTTGCCACCTTGGTGCGAATCAAGGGCTCGATAGACTTACATCTGAGGTCGAGGAAGTCGTAGTGGGCAAGACGCTGGATAGCCTCGAGCTTACCACCAACGTAGAAGTCGCTGGTGTTGTTGAAGAGGTGCTTCACACCGGGGTGGGTGTCGTCATCGCTGCCAAAGACCTCAATGGCCTCCTTGACTCTAGAGAAACACGTCAGTTCAGGCCAATTCCCAGTAGACATGTTAAAACCTACCTGTCGGGCTTGTAGACATCCTCAACAGTGAGGATAGCCAGGTTGCGGTCGTCTCTGAGGTCGCGGAGGGTGATGCGCGCACCGGGCTTGATGGAGAGGGTGTCGATCTGCTGCTGGGAGACATCGAGGGTGATGGGCATGGAGAAGAGGTTGCCATCAGCGAGACGGTTGTCCTTGACGACTCTGCACCAAGCATGTTAGGAACCAGTATCTTATCAGGAATTTTTTTATTCGCGTCTTCAACGTACCCATTATAGTCCTTCTCGGTCATGAAACCTGTAGAGATGCCACCACAGTCAGTCCCGCTGTTCTCGGGCGAGCAACGTAATCGTGGGGAACTTTGCCCCTCCAAAGAAAAATCATGGCGGGGTCGCTTCCGCAACGCAACCCCACCACCGTCGTCGCGCAACGGATGCAGGAGGGGGGCCAGCCGCCGCCGCCGCCGCCGCCGCCGCCGCAGCAGCAGCAGCCAGCAGGAAGCAGTTGCAGCCCGGACAGTGAACTCGACGTACCTTCGAGGGGAGAGAAGCCACCGTTGAGAATCAGCTCGAGATCGCAGAGGTGGCGCTCGGTCAACAGGAGGGAAGGGAGCTTGTCGGCCTCAGCAAGAAGCTCAGACTGGCGCGGCGCATCGCGCAAGAAAAGGTCCTTGAGGACACCGCCGTGGGGAGAGTTGGCCATTGTGTATTTCTTTGGAGGAAGCGCGAAGCTTTGAAATAGGGAGGGTGTTGTATGGGATTTGTCAAGAGACACACTCTAAACAACGTTCAGAGAGGGAGAGAGGGAACACACAACGAATTGAGCCGGGAGCTTCTCGTTGTAAAGAGAATATTGGGTATAAAGAGGTAGATGGGAGGGGATTCACGGATGAAGTAGAAGAAACAGGAGAACAAGCGGGAGAGAGAGTCTGCCGAGGAGATGGGCGAGGGTAAAGGTGTCTTTTATTTTCCTCAGACACACGGACAGACAGACAGACAGAGAGACAAAGTGAGAGAATTGTTGCTCGTTCCCGGCGTCAAATCGGCCTTGCGTGTGTTGCTGAGGTGCGCTGCTGGTGCTGTACGGATACCCCGTTGTCCAAGGTAAAAATTGGAGGCTGTTTAGTTCAAATGACGTGATCGCTACCTTGCACATGTACCTCCCTTGGCGGCATGCCATGTACTCTTAATTACCAATGTTGGCTCTTTGTAGAGGTGTCAGCCACGACTAAGTCATGTTCGCCACGATAAGTTACCGTAAGGTCCCATCCTATCCCATCCCATTCCGTCCGAAAAGAGACTTGGTCGCGGTGCGTAGCCGCGGAAAAAGTCTGCTTTTCTCCATGCTGTTGCATGTCTGACCCGGAGACTGACCCATGGGAGATCCATGAAGCCGTGGGGTCGCTGTTTTGCAATGTCGCGGCTCGGTGTTCCGGCATCTTTTGGCGTCGGGACGGGTATTGGTAATATGGTAGCCTGATAGAACACCTCAACCTAGCCTGAACACCGCATCTTCAGGTTACGTCGAGGAGGAAGCAGAGGCTCCTTGAAACAGCGTAGGAGCCTGCGATATCAGCGCAACGAGTTCTCCATCAAGGGTCCCGGTCGATAAGGTAGTTTGGCGCAATGAAGAATGCCAATCCAAAATACCCCGCCAAATGTGGCTTGATAACCCCCCGATATCAATCATCAGGGACCCTGCGCCACGTTCTACCCTCGTCCCGACTCCCGAAAACGCGCAATTGCAGGACAATTTTGTGCCAAAAGCTGTAGTACAAGCTGCAGAGACGTTGTCAAAGTTGCAATTCCTGCCTCATCTGGCGTGCTGGCGCCGAGCCTCTTGGCTGTAGGCTAGACACTTGTAACCTCGACTTGGGAAGCCCGCCAACGGAAGGGCTGAGAATATCAAGCGTCTTCCGCCCTTGGTCAGTCTTGGCGCCCTATCGAGTTCCAAGACTCATAAGATATGGCAATTCCGTATTCCGAACGACCATGATGACCTCTTGCGCGCCATTCAGATTATCACGATGGCGATATGTCGCTCTTCGCAGGACTTCCAGCGTATGTCTTGGCACAGATCGTTCCAGACTATGGGCCGTTCCACGTGTTACAGAACAGTGTGCTGAACAGTTCAACGTGGACCCGATCCTTTGGATAGGCTTTTGACAGCAGCTTATCTGAAATCTTGTAGATCTCGTCCAAGAATCTCGTGTCTCAACTTTGGCCGTTTCGATCTCTTTGCTACGAAGTGCAATCGGTCAGCTCGGTGAGGGTGGTGGGGTAGCCCCGACGTCCGCGTCGATCGGCTGCGCGGTTGTCGGTAGCCGGCCCCCGACTGCCGGCTGCGGGGTTAGCCCGATGTCGCTTGACACACCGAGATCCCTTGCTCCAGTTCTTTTCTCTATGCCGTGGACATTGATGACATTCCGTGTCCACTCCTTGGCCGCCATTCTCCACCACCAGCCAAGTTCCCGAGACTAAGTTCCTGAAGATCTATAGCTACGGACCTTCATTGGCTCTTCACTATGGTGGGTATTCTTCTTCGCGGAATCTTGTCTCCATGGAGTTTCGCCCACTCAATTCCACAATACCGAGCGTAGATCATCGAGAAGTGAAAATTCGGAACTCCTATGACGCCAGAGGTAAGATCAAGGCTTGTTTCGTAAGGCTGCGCTGTCTAGCTTGCCCCTTTAGGGAAAATTCTGTTTGAAAATTCTCGCAATCTGTCAACTTTTCTTATGGAAGGACTTGTCTGGTTGGACGAATGCAACTGTCTGTACACAGACTTGCGCCATTTGCACTCCTCCGTGTTTAGCCATCGGAACCTTTCAACCTTGACTGTTGCACTTGCAAGCCTTTCAAACGGACAGAACGCTCTTGGGTGTTGCGTCAAACTCCCTTTTGACGAGTTGCAACCCACAACGCAAAGGCCCTTACACAGAGGACTCTTGCGCCCACGCGATAATCACCACCTTCAGACACATCATCAGGTTCAAATGCTTGAAGTTTGAGGAGATCTTGCATGCCGAGAACATGCTCTTCGTCCTCCAGAACCGAAACTTCACCAAACCAGGGACAGCCGAGCTTCCTCGCTTCCTTTGATGCCTTGCCATCTCTAACTTTTGGTAGTCACGTCGTTGTTCAAGATCAAACCATGCTTGACTATGACTAGATTACGCTTTGCCGGAGCGTTCATACGTAGTCCGATAGCATTGCCGAGACTTCTCTGGTACCTAGCACAAACTTATAGCGTTACTACTTTCTCGAAAGCGAGCGGTGCAGTCTCGTCTAAAGACCGTTGGTTATTGTAGTTTCAACGAAGGCCGATGGCATCTGGGCTCGTATGCTTCCGATGATTTCGAAATGCATCCCACCTGACGATGAAGTCCAATATCAATGTCTGTCTCCATGGGTCCAAGAGTGGAACGGGGACCTACTATGCAGCTAGTCACATCTGGTAGGGAATTTCTCTCCCTAGTTTGTGAGAGGATTCCTGTCATTGAAACAAGGTGAAGCAGAGCAAGTAGGCACTTGACCCAATCTGCGGCTCTGCCTCATTCTATTTGAACGATATTAATATGGCCATTGGACCCAACGGGCACTAGCCGTGTTGGTAATGGATACAGTGCAGCTCTCGAACAAAACATTCTGCTCGCCAGAGTTCACAAGTCGCCTAGCGGTCATACGAGCTCGAGCTAGCAATCGCGAGAACGACGTACCTCAGCCTCTTCTTATGATTTCAAAGAGACAGAGAAGGAAGCCTATGGCGGACTAATAATTGTTGGGCGACTCGACCGTATTTTAGACTTGATACTCGTCCAAATACTCTTCGAACAATTCGAGAGCCGGCTAAGCGAATATCCACCTTCTTTGTATGGTATGTGTGTTGTCGCAAAGTGATGAAGTCATAGTTTCGCGCCGTCTCTTCGCGAAGTTGACATGCCTGTGTCTTAAAGCCAGCGCTAGGCAAACGGAGTGTTGCTAAGCAGGGTTCTTGGTGACAGAGAACTCAGCCTGTGCCAGCATTCCTCGACCGTGAATCTCGATGCCAACTTCTTTTCTACCGAAGGAGTTCGTGGCGGAAACGGTGAATTGACTGGACCTGTCCATTCCTTTGAGCCGTATCGACGCTGCAAGCCGTCTGGGTTCGAGGCGGCTCTAGGGCAAGCCGCCCCGAAAGTCTACACCTAGACGCTTCAGAATGTAGCCAGACCTCGTGGCAGAAGTGCTCCTGACCAATGGTGATGCAGCACGAGGGAGATGGAGTCAAGTTGCAGACCAGTGGTCGGGAGATGGACACGCAGATCTGCGGTGAGTGTTAGCTTAAAAACGTTTGGCAGCAAGGGAATAGGGTATCCCGGCTCGTTTGGGAGAGGAAAGGCTTGGATTGGCGGGATTGGGTGCTGGGCATCGTTGGCAGTCTTCCCGGGTGGCTGGGGATGGACGTCGAGTGGAATGGGTTTCCCGCCGTGGTGGAGCAAGATGGGGTCTTGTTTCTCGAATGGCGAAGGCAACGGTTGAGAATTCGGGAGACGCTGCTCCCGCCCAATAGTTCTTAATGTCTTGCTCTTGACGAGTACTCCGTACTCGAAACGGATCTTCGTTGGCAACGGAGCGGGTAGTACTCCATGCCCATGAATAATGGCAAAGTTGGCGCGCCTGTGCACGTGTATTCGCAGTGTGCCTGGCACTCCGGAACAAGGCGGCAACGACGGGTACGGATCGTCTTGGACGCCGAGACTTCGGGACGCCGCAAGCTGTGTTTAAATCGGTAGTGTTCCGGCTCAGCGGCAATGAATAGCTCGCCATTGACGATTCGGGTGGCTGGTTTCAGACCAGTCAAGAGGCTTGAGACCAAATTGAACTGCCTATTTATGTAATAACACAAATATGTGGGTGACGGAATGATCCTACCCAACGTGTTCAAGTCGATGATGGATGCAAAGTTGGCTTGGGGTCAAGCAGAGGTTCTAAGTAGGAATGAAGAATCAGTATCCGTATATTGACAACCTAGAGAGAGAAGGTAAGTATGGACCAGGGCATGGGGGTACTCTGAAGAGAACTCCCTTAAGCAAGCTGGACTCCTTACGGAGCAAAACAAGAGTCCGATGCAAATTCGGTCTTTCGATGATTGATGGCTGGAGGACGGAAGCGAGACAAGATCACGGTGCCGCCGAAGCATGGGCCAACGGCCAGGTTGAGCTCTTCCCTTTGCAGTAGTCTGGTACGTACCGCTCTGCCCAGAACAGCAAGTTGCTTTACCCTACCTTACCTTAGGTAAGGTTAAGATAGGTATCATTTACTAGGACAAAGGCGGCTAAAGTACGGTAGAAATATACACAGATTCTATGAGGTCGATTATCTTAGCGGTCCGACCGATCCGAAGAGGCTTTTCCACAGGGAACATACCTTACCGACTTTCCAAGAATTGTTCTCGACGTGCCTGAATGTGAGGGTTGCACCAAGTATCATCGCCTGATTATTACGCCCAGGTACCTAATGCACCCGCTATGTATGCCTGATTCCCGACGAAGCTGAGCTGGTGCATGGGAATTCTAGGTATCTTAGCACTGAGTGACCTGGCCCACTGGATTCGACGTCAGTGTTATCTCCAGAATACGTGTATCCGTAGTGCAGTGAAGCAGGTGGGGAACATGGTGCCGCCTGGTAGGAATCGGTACATACCTATGTTGTCGCTGTTTGTGCGGAGAGTGACATGTGTCATTGGGAATTGTGCTTCCAACCTTGTTTTTCTGCCCGAGTGCTGCAGCAACTAGGTACGGATGCTGCCGCCATCGTCTTCTCAGGTTCGTTTTACTCGCACACGTTTTCTTTGCGTGCCCGACTAATACTCGGTCATGATACCTTAGCTCGAAATGAATGGCTTGGAATGCCTCACAGGTTCCAATCGTTTGCAACGCCCAATGCTAGTGGCCAGAGTTACCAGAGCAAGTTGGCATTCGTACCGCTTAAAACAGTGAGCACCGTGTGTGCTGATGCCATCCATGATCCCGGCGCCATTACCCCTGCCCCCGTATCCCGGTTTCGACCAGTTTCCGGCAGGTCAAGCTGCAAAGGAAAACGGCCAAAAAGCACCAGTCTGCACCACCCACCCGCTCTCCATTTGCCCTTGTCCGTCGACGGTTTGCCGGTTCCAGGCCAGGGCCCATGACATGGCATTCCAAAACAGACATCTCGTTCAGGTATTTCTACACTATGGACACACTAAATGCTAGGTAACTTAGGTGTGTGTGTGTGTGTGTGTGTGTGTGTGTGTGGTGAGGTGGATAAGGTAACCTACCTAGTAGTAAGGTAAGAAGGTAAGGTAGGTACCTACCTCTGTTACCGCCCGCCCAGGCAGGTACCGCTGTAGAATCATCATATGAATACGAGATGTCCCTTCCTCATCCTTCCTCACCATCAACTCTCGTCCATTCATTCACCCATGTCTGCGGCCTGCCTGTGCCTCTCTTCTCCAGGCTCTCCTCTCCTCTCCTCTGGTCCTACGGATACCTACTCCTGCCTCTTCCATTCCCGTCAGCTTCTTCCCCAGACTATTCGTATCCCGTTCTGGACCCTGGCCTGATCCTGATCCCGCCTTCGCCTTGTCCTAACCGACCCGGTTCGAGCAGCCGCCGTCTGCAAGTGTCCGCTGTCGCGCCCGATTCACCACGGCGGATACAACTGCAGTCTGCAGCTTACTGGAGTTTGACTTCCCTGTTTGGCTGAATCACACCCAAAATCCAGAATCACACCAACCGCCCTGCCGGTCCGCTCATCCTTGCCGTCGGTTCTGCGCCGATTTGGGGACAATCTTGAATATCAAAGACAACACCCCTGCAAGTCGACTATTATCTTGCACTTGCCTCCCGCCACTACGGACCCTTGTCGCCCCTACCTTGCCGCTCTTCTCCTGAGGCTTTTCTACGCGCGCCGTCAAAACAACATCGATTAATCCAACAACAACAATTTCTCCAGCAATCCTCACGACGACTTGGCCCCATTACTCCTTTGTGCCGTTGCCCCAGCAGAATATTGCTTCGACCTCACGCAGAAACGTACTAGTCGCTCAACATCCTAGTCGAACCATCCCAAACAGCTCCATCTCGTCTCGGACAGGACCCTGAGCTCTCCACCATTCATCAAGGCACTTTCCGCTGCTTCGGGAAGCCCACCTACGATCTTCCGTGTCCTCCGAGCCACCTCCAAACTTCGACCCAGCCAAGGCATGCGACACCACTGAATACCTACATGTCTTTTGCCATTGCTTCTCAGCACTTGGTTCGATTTAATCCAGACATCACCGCTCCAGCTACGACATAACCAGCTTTCACCGTCTCTGTCTGCACACCCATCAGCATCCTTCGGGCATCCAAGCCCAGGAGTTCCTGAATCCTCCGGTCGCTCCTTTGCGCGCCCACCGCCCACGATGACCCGATTCGGAGGCTCGACCTCGCTCGCCGCGACCCTGATTGTCCTGTTCATGTTCATTGCTACGGCTTTGGCAGCCACGGAGACTGTCTATATCACCGGCTCAGACAAAGATGGCAACAGCAAGCAGCTTGCGGTCAATCGCAATCCGGGCCTATTTACTGGCGATTTTGGCGACTGTTTGGGAGGACAAAGTTTATTCAACATTACAAAATTCGATGCTGCCTACTACGCCGACAACATGACCGTACAGTTCCACCTGGACGGTACCACCAATATTAGGAACGAATCATTGATGAGTAAGTTCAACCGAATCTGAACTTCTACCCATGTACTAATTACACTGCAGTGCACATCAATGTCGAAGCTTGTAAGCTGCAATCACAACTTGGGACGAACCGGTACGCAGAGATGGGGTATGCTGACTTGTGGCAGATGGCGAGACAAGATTCGAGATGAACTTTAACCCCTGCATGACCAACATCGCTAGGTGCGTCCTAGTCTTTACGCCTCTCAAGGCGGTTTGCTAACTTCCCGCAGTCTGTGCCCTCTCAACGCCAGCAACCCCATTACTGCATTTGCAGAGTTCAGACTCACACCTGCTCAGATCGACGGCATTCCATCAATCGCCCTCGATATCCCCGATTTCGAAGGTTCTGCGCGCATTCAGATCTTTGCAAACTCTAGTCAGACGCAGATAGGATGTTTCCAAGCCGTCATGCGGAACGGCAACAGCTTTTCCCATCCAGCCGCGATTTCGTCGATACTGGGCGTGTTCACACTCGCCGCTATCCTGGCTTCTGCGGCAACCGCCATGTATGGTGTTAGCGTGCCTCATATCCGGACACACTATGCCCATTCTCTGTCAGTCCTGGTCATCTTCGAGACCTATCAGACCGTCTTTTTCTCAGGTGCCTTGTCCGTCGACTGGCCTAGCGTCCTGCCCGCCTGGTGGAGCAACTTCGGATGGGCCGCCGGCATGATATACAGCGAGAAAGTAATCAATTCGATTGATGGTTTCGCCGGCGTGACTGGTAATGCCAGTCAGGTAGGCGGTGCAGGATCGGCCGTGATTAACACTGGGGGTGGTCTCGTTCAGCAAATCTATGGCCGCTCGCTCGACACTTTCTCGACGTCTAGCGATGGAGTGTCCGTTCCGAATCTTGTGCAGCGAGCGACCAGGGCCTACAACACAAGCAATCCATACGAATACTATTGGGCGGGAAACCCCGTCGCTCCGGGCATGCCTACGCCAGGCAAGTGGATTGGATTCGCCGGAGACCTTTCTGCTCTCGGCATACCGGCCGCCGATGCTTTCACCCTCGGTCTCATCTGGTGGTTAGTGGCCATTGGACTGGTTGCCGTCTCCATCGTTGCGTTCAAGTTCATACTCGACTTGCTTGTTCGGGTAAAGCTGATCAAGCAGGATCGCTTCTTATATTTCCGCAACCACTTGGGCGGATACCTGGCAGTCGGAGTTCTGCGCACGCTGCTCGTTTCGTTCTCCTCCCTGATGACCCTGGCGCTATTCCAGTTCAACATTCGCGCGCCAGCCGGCCCAACAGCTATCGCGGCGATCATCTTCATCCTTTTGCTCATTGGCGTTGGCGGGCTTGTTGCCTACGCTTGTTTCTTCCGTCTCCGACTCGGCAAGTATGAAATGGGCCCCGATACGATCATGTTTGAACAGGGAAAGCTCTTTGGCTCCATACCAGCGGTTGCAACAACGCGTGCTAGCGATATTGGAGAAAAGGAAACTACCGCCAAACGCTATGGATCGATGCCGTTCTTCAAGATTCGATTCATTGACGACGACCCCAACCGGACAACGGTCCACCAAGACGAGGTTTACATCAAGCGTTTTGGATGGCTGTCGGCTCGTTACCGCAGGACCAGATGGTGGTTCTTTGCCTGCTGGCTCAGCTACCAGTTCATCCGGGCTTGCTTTATCGGCGGCGGAGCGCGAAGCCCCCTGGCACAAGTTTACGGATTATTTGTTTTCGAGATCATCGCTTTCATTGTCTTTGTTAAACTTAACCCCTTAGAGGGCCAGAGAAACACTTCCGTGGCAATCTGGATGCTGGGCATTACAAAGATTGTCACTTCAGGTTTCTCTATTGCCTTCTTGCCCGCATTCGCCATTGGTCGCATCCTCTCGACTGTTTTCGGCATTATCATCATTGTCGTCCAAGGTTTCCTTATTGTTGCGGTCCTAATTCTCGTTGTACTGGGCGTCATTTCATCATGGATGTCGCTCCACCGAAATCGCGAACAGTTCCCCGAAGCGCTGGACGGAATCCGCATCAGATACTACGAACATATCCAGGCTAGAGCCACTGACCTCCCGCCGCCACCGAAACCAGAGCCGAAGGTCGAAGAGCCTCAAGAGCCACCGCAGCCTTACTTCTCAGTCAACAGCGTTCGCCGGACTCGCAAGATTGAGGACGATGACGAGGAAGACAAGGTTGGAGATATCATTCGGCCAGCCAACGCTTCGGTGGTAAAGTTCGCCCCGGGTACTACTACCACCCGACGAACCCGGACAGATAGTGTCAGCTCGCGATACTCTGTTGGTAGCTTGCCGCGCCGCGCCAAAGCGCATCGCACCTCATGGAGTTCGGCTGATTTTGCTGAATGGGATGCCAACAATAATGCGGACCGGCCCGCATCATCGCTTGCACACCGTAGCAGTTTCGGTCATCAGCGCAATGGCTCATTGAGACAGGTGTCACACTCTGGATCGCAGCCCGACCTCGGACGCTCCGTCAACAACTCGCCAGCGCCTGCAAGATCCGTATCGATGACGAACAACGAGTTACGCCGTCTCATGACTCCCACCGAAGAACTTCCAGAGGAGAGTGTAATGACGCCCGGAAGCATGGTCGAGCCTGAGACCAGCACCAAACCTAATGATACCGCCATTTCCCCCATCCACGAGAAAGACGAGCATGAGGCCAGGGAGGGGAATGTCTTTCCTGTTGAGGAAAAGATCCAGAAGTCTTGAGCTGCTATCAGGAACATGAGAAACAACATGGTTTCGCAACCATGCCGCATCAGAACTTGACACAACAAGCGCCTCGATTTCGATAATACGTCGATATTGGTTTCCTTGCTGTGGAATTACACTGCATAGACGGTCAACACGTTTGACCTTTACGAACTTTCATGAGAAACGATTACTGGGCGTTAGCGGGAATGCTCATTTGAAAAAGAAGAAGAAGAAAAAGAAGAAACCCCATCTTTGTAATGGCACTAATATGTGGAGGACAGGCCGGCCGGCTGTTGCTCACATTTTGGAACGTGCACATATTTGTGCGGCCTCTGGATGAGCCGCAGTACATGGATACACACTTATAAATGCAAGAAAGTGGCTGGCTCCTAGCATAGAGATTGAGTTGAAAGGTAGACCTAGAAAACAGTATAAAGTCTTCCCTTACACACAGTCGTCTTAAACATGACGTGAGGTATTCTATTTTGTTCAAGATGTCTCAAGTACTCTCTGCAGATCTCGGTCTAGTTTCTAGATTGATGATCCGGGGGGGGAAAGGGTGGCCAGCAGGCTGCTATAAACCTCGAAGGCTTGGTATTGTTTATCTTCGTAAGCTGTATTTTTCTTCCCTTTTCTTTCTCTTTCTTCGTCCCAGCTTCAACGCCGCCACCAGAATGATAGTTTTATGTCCCAAGGTGGCAAATATACAGTGGAGGTTTGGGTGCTGTGGCGGTGAGCTGTGGTCTTTTGAGTCTCATGCTCTACGGGATTCATGCAAAAGATGGGATGAGTGTTGCAGAGTTGGGGCAATGGTGGTGAGTGGGATTTCGGGCTGGTGGAAAGTTGTGGCTGGTGGTTTGGGGAGGGTAAGGTATGGGTATCACATGGAGGATGTAGCTTTCTTTCCGTTTTTAGGATGGGATTTCGAGTGATGAAGTGGGAATCGGGTTGTTTGGGGTTTGCCAGGAAGGGTTATTATTTCGGTTTTCTCTTGCGTAGGGGGCGAGGTATGGTACCTGGAGGCGGTTCGCGCAATGCAGATGGAATGACTCTGGTGTAGGCGCAAGTCATACAGCTTTACACACCTCTATAGAGCACTAGGGAAAAGGCAGAATGAGTATCATACCTCAAGTGAGTGAGTTCAATCTTTGAACAACTCAACTTGACTTGTCGAGGCGGGAGGCCATTCCGGCGCCGCATCGACGCCCCCACTTCCGTCCGTCATTAAAGTGCGGAGGAACATCCCCGACTCTCACGCCCCCGACGGCAGCAAGTGCCGGGGCAACTATGCCCAATCGGGACCCTAGAGTCGAGTACTGAATTAGGCGGAAGCGAGTGCGAGCGAGGATGGGTGTACCTGGGACGACTAGATGCGCGCCACTTACACTCTGACCGTCCACCACGTCCTGCCCATCAAGCAAGAGTAGCCAGATAAGACAGATCAACTGCAAACAGACGGAACATTCAATAGTAGATGAGACACCTTCAATGAAATGAGAGGATTCGTCGTCATCTCGCTGTACTTGACGAATGGGGCGCGGGGTGTAAAGTCTATCCGACAACGCGTGTCACAGAAACATCCCATAGAGCTTTCGTCAGCCACACATACTGTCGCATCCAGACTCGACGTCTTCATCTGATGTTTTGTCTTCTATCGGACCCCCGATTCTACACTGCCATGCCGGCCGTATTCGCTGGCTGCCATGTTTTCAGCTGTCCCATGTCTCGCACCTCTTCGTCATTGCCCATGTCATTCTGCATCGCCCCCTCAGACCCAGGCCCCGATATTGAACCCCTTCTTCGGAGACAAGTGACATTGACAGGTCTATATCAAGCTTGACTCCCAGCTTCATTTTCCCCATGTAATTCCTTTCCAAACAGTCTGCTTCATAACAAAAGCAGTAGACTTCGATAACCAGAACCTCTTCGCAGCAGCAAGAAACACCATCACCGCACTCTACTACAAACCACAACCAAACCACCAACACCTACAACCCCCCAGACTTTCACACAGAAAACGACAATGTGCTGCCGAAGACGCCGCGCAGCCCGCCAAGCCTGGCTCGAACAACGCGCCCTCGGCGGTCCTCGCGGCTGCCATGGCGCCCGCCACTTCGGCCCCGGCCCCGGAGGCCCACCATTCCGTCCGCCCTGGGCATCAGGAGGCGGCGGCGGCGGTGGTCCCCCCTTTGGCCGCTGGCGCGACATCCCACGCGATAACGTCCCTGAAGATCCCTTCCGCGATCCTCCCGCTGCCCCTCGCAACGACCCGGCGACTAGGGATCCGGAAAAGGGCGCCGTCGAGATGAATGTTAAGGATGTGGAGAAGAGCACGCCTGCCCCGACTCCGGTTCCGGCCCCGGCTGCGGCTCCAACCCCGGAGGGTGATTCGAAGAGGGTGTCATTCATGTCTGGCCCCTTTTCACGCTGGAGAGAGTCCGTTAGGAGCGGTGGGGGCGATGTGAGGAGGTCGTCTTCGAATGCGACGTTGCCTCCTAGGTATAACTCTGGCGTCACCGAGGCGCCGTATTGGAGTGGTGAGCAGGCTGGGAATAGGGGGTTTATGCCGCCGAATTACGATGTGGCGATTAAGAACTGAGGCAATCACGGGAGATACGCCGTTGGAGACATTGATGCATTGGGGGGCGGATCTGGTCTACGTGGAGGGGTAGCGAGTGTATACAGAGTTGGAAAGGGTTTTTCTTTTTATATTGTTACAGAGAATTATACGAAGCACGTCATTTGCCTATAGTTGTTCGCACCGGGTATTTTAGGGCAAGAATCCAAACAAGAAATCAAATAGTTCATCCAACGCCCTGCACCGTCGCTCGAAATTTGAACAATTAGATGTACCAGGTTCCATGTGCAGTAGAACGCAAGAACGGTTTTCCGGGAATACTTTCAAGCTTGTGAACTCGTACTCAGTCCCAATCCTCATACCCCCCAGCTCCGTAGGGATTCCACTCCTGACCAGGGTAACTCGTCGCGCTCATCTGAGGCACATCCGCCGGCTCCTCTTCCTTCCTATACTTCACCCCTCCAGACGACAACTCCTCGTAAGGGTCGACCAGGATCTTCTCCTCCTGGGCCTCACGACGCATGGTTCTCTGACGCTCATCTTCCGTATCCTCCAGCTCGGCTCTCGTGCTCTTGCCCCTCGCCAGGGTAGTCGAGGCCGCAGCGCCAGCGCTGCCGTTGGCGTGGCTGGCGTTTCGGGGCGCTTCGTCGGCAGAGCTGTCGCTGACCATGCTGTGGCCCGTGTTCGCGGCGACTATAGGCCGTGCTGCCGGCGGCTGGGAAGGGTTGGAGGGCAGGCGCGGTGTGGGTTCGTAGAGGTCGTTGTCTTTGGGTTTTTGGTTTGCTTGCTGCACGTTGACGCTGAGGCGAGGTGCTGCGGGTGCTGGCGCTGGTGCTGGAGGATCAGGCGATATAATTCTCTCCGCAGGCCCTTGTGTATTGTCGGAAATGCTGCGGGAGTTATTTCCCGTCATACTACTAGCATCGATCGCAAGCCCTTGTGCTGGATGGGCCTGATTCTGTTGATGGGGAGATGAGTGCATATCAGGAGAGTTGTGGACCACGTTGGTGGCGTTCTGTTGCGCCTCACGAGAGCTGGCCTCTTGCTTTCCCTGAATTCCTCGGCTCTGACTTTGTTGTATCTGGGGAGATGCTGCGGCTGGAGCCGCCGCGTCGACAAGAGAGTATCGTTGCTGTTGAGGCTGTTGCGTTGGCGGCATGGTTTGCTGACCAAACTGCGGGCCTGGAGCCGCGATCTGGCTGTCATCGTGGTTCACTACCCGTATTCCTCTCTGGTCTTGCTGTGGTTGATGTTGTTGATGTTGCTGACTGGAGATTGGCACATCACCATGCGGACCGGGGACCGCCTGCGTGCTGTGGCTGGCATGCGAGATGTTGGACTGGTGAGACGCCATGCTCACGCGGCGGTCACCCTCAGGCCATGCAGCTCCCTGAGGATGGCCCTGAAGCAGCTGCTGTCCTTGCGGTACAGGAGGGCTTGGGTGGCTGTACATTGATATCTCGGACGGGTGTCTCTGAGCAACGGGAGGCTGGCCCCAATGCGGCACCTGCGGTGAATGGTAGGCAGGATACTGAACCGGTGGCGATGTACGTGAGAGAGCGTACGGGGATGGAGCTACGCCCCCTTCACCGTGAACGGCAGCATATCCTTGCGGAATAGGGACTTGATCGTACTGGGGTTCAACGTAGGGTTGGGTATTGGGGGCGCTTCCACTTGGCCCAGGACCGTTGGGAATCGCCCGCGTCATGACAGGTTCGAATGGTACGTCCTGTTGACTTGAGAATCTTCCGTTGTTTTGCTGCATCTCTTCGGGGTTTCTGCCAGCCACGTCGTGTTGAGGGGGACGCCCTTGTTCAAAGGAACCCATGGATGGGCGCTGTTCTTGGTACATGTGATGGGGTCCTTGTTGCGGCAGATGACTCCTCTGCGATAATGGAACAGCTGGTGGCATCCTTTGCTGGCCTTGGCTTTTGTAAGGTTGCTGCGGCTGAAACTGCGGCTGCGGCTGCGGCTGCATGTTTTGAGCCTGGCTTGGATGTGGCATCTGTTGTTGTGGCCGGGGTTCTGGTTGCTTGGATGATCGCTTGAACGCACTGAATATGGACTTGGTCGTCGACTCTTTCGGAGGACCTTGATTAGGCCGAGGCTGTGGTTGTGTAGAGTTCCTATTCTTGAACCACTTGGATACTGAGTTCTGTTGACCATCGACACTGGAGTCTTGACCGCCAGACTGCATGTCCTGGCTTTGGGGGAAAGGTAGCGAAGAACGCTGGTTTGGTGGGGGGAACGCTTGAGAGAATTGAACTGGAGATCTGTTTCCAGTATCAAAACCCTGATTCTGGTGCTGATGTTGCTGTTGGTGCTGCTGTTGGTGCTGCTGAGGACGTCCCGGAGAAGCAATTCCAGGTACGGGCTGAGCCATCCGATCAGGTTGCTGCATGTTGGCCTGCACACTGGCAGGTCCACCAAGCTGTGGACGCCCCTGAGACGGATCCGGCAGAGGCCCTCGACCGTCCGAGACCACAGCTGCCCTCGTCGCCGGCATCTGAGCAACAGCCGCCGGCTTCGGAGAATTCGATATCGACGATCGTTGCGAGGTATCAGAATGGCCGACTGCCCCGTTGGGAGATTGTGCCCTAAAGTTGGAGGAAGGAGACAGCAGCGACGCAGATTGCTCCGAGGTCCGTCTAGCATGGCCGGACTTCTGGACGCCGAGAGCCTGGTGGTGGTTGGCACTACCTTGCGCCTGGCCCAGAGGCGGTGTCTGCGGCCCGGGCGAGTTCTCACGTCCGTAGCTGTGTCTGATTGATGGCTCTGGTGTTGGCTCGGCCGAGAATCCGGGGGGAACCCAGTGCTCTTCGGTCTGGTCTTCTGACTGCTCAGGGCGCGAGAGTTGCTCCTCTGCCTGTAGGAATGATAGAGAAGGCTGCCTCTGCTCAGTGAGATGACGGCGTCCCGGTGAGGGTTGTTCTCTCTGCGATGGGGGCGCCGGAGCATCAAAGGATTGCGAAGAAGGTTCTGACTCCATATTCAACATCTGACTGGACTTTCTCCGTGAGACGTGTTCATCGTGCGATTCGTTAGCAGGCGCGATGGGAGCTTCACGGCGTTCACTCTGCAAGTCGGACACCGGTCGTTCTCGCGTATCATCCAGTGCGGGACTTCTCTGCTGATCCGTCACCGCAGCGAATTGCTGTGACGGTTGAGGAGAGGGCAAGAAAGAACCGTTGGACTTTCTGTTATGAAGTTCCGGCCCCTGAGGCTGATGCTGAGGTTGGGGCTGGGGTTGAGGCTGAGATTGAATTCGTGCACCAGCGCCCTGTTGCATAGAAAAGTCCTGGAACCGAGACGACTCCTGCTGCTGCTTCTGCTGCTGCTGCCCGAACCCCTGAGGCGGGCTTCGCATAGGCGGCTGTCCCTCATCCTCGCGCCTTGGCCCGAGGTTTGACGGCGGCATCTGCTGACCGGGATGCTGCACTCTGAACTGCGCCGGAACACTTGCATTCTGGTCCTGTCCTTGAGGGAACCCATGCTGCGTCTCGGTCGTCTTATTGGCGGCGCGTTTGCCAAAGAGTCCAGAAAGGAACCCGCCCGCCGAGCTTCTCCTACCACGCTCGTCATCTTCAACGTTACCCAGCGGCTTATTCACTAGCGACTCCTGTGCGAAAAGTTTACTTGTGCCAGTGGTGTTGCTCCTTTCTCTCCCCTGAGCGGCTAGGGGGCTAGGCTTGCCAGGTTGGCTTCCTTGCGTGCTTGGCGGGCGGCCGAACATGGTTGAAGTCGTGGTAGAATGAGATGTGCTAGGCTTCTGTGGTACCTGTAAATCCTGCTGACTCGAGCTACGAGGAAACACCTTGCTCGTGAAGCCAGAGAAGCGCTTCTTGGGAGGGCCCATGGCTCCGCCTGCTACTTCATATCCAGCAGTCGACGTTGACGAACGAGACAGGTTAGGCATGGGGAAATTGGCAGATTGATCGGCACCGGGGCCGAAGAAGGAACGTTTTCTCTCCGCCGGCCCTCCCGGCGGTGGCTGGGCCTGAGACGGACCGCCCGGGTTCGGGCTCGCCTTTGGCGACGGCGTAATCTCTTCGCCGGCATCGGAAGGTTTGGAACCCCGCAAGTTGAGAAAGAAGCTTGAACGTCGTCTCTGGCGGTCTTGCAGCTCTCCAGTGGCAACACTCGCCTCAGACACGGCATCCCCTCGCACGTCTGGACCGGCCATATAGCTCGGCGCTCCGCTTCCAGCCTTGGACGCTGGCCGTTCCCGCGAGGTGTGACGCGAGATGCGACCTCCAATCTCTTTCAAGAAGCCAGAGCTTCGTCTGCGGCCACGCTCCTCGTCTATTGAAGGATCAACGCCGCTAACTTCCGAGTCACCCGTCTGCGTCCTGTACAGCGAGGCAGAATCGCGGTTGTAGAAATGCTGACCAAGGTCTTCGGAGTCTCGTGGTCCTGTGGGAGAGCTAGGGTTTTGATATCCTACTTGAGGGGTGAATAGGCCAGGATAACGCTGCGCTGATGACGGAGGCACTTCAGAAAACTTCTGCCTAGGCGGCAACTGCGTTTCGGGTCGTTGCGCTGCCGTCGAAGGCACGCCGGTTTCTTTGTCGATTCCAAAGGAGGTTTGCTGGTGAGGTGACAAAGACCCGCCAGACTGGCGATTCCTGCTGGTGGCCAGCGGCTCAGACAAATGCGACTCTTCGAGCTTCCAAGGGCCTTGAGGAGGAAGGTGATGGATCGGGTTGCCTCCAAAAGTTGGAGACATAATCCCCTGGTGAGGAGGCAAACCTGGACCATAGGGCGGACCGCTCGTTCGACCGTCATTCTGTTGCATCGCTGCTCTCGTGTCAATGGGTCCTGGTACACGGGCGGCACCCTTCATTGCCACTCCCGGTCCAAGGGGTCTCTTCTCATCGTCGATTCTCAGATCCTGCCCGGTCATCCCACTGCTCTCGGTCGCCAGCGTAGCCGCCTGAGTTGACGTTGCCGAGAGAACGTTGTGTGACATGTTGCTGTCTTTGCGGAAGCGCGGTGGCCCAGTGTCGACCCGAATGGGCTGCGCAGACTGCTGTGCAGACCAGCTAGATTCCCCCTGCTGGTAGCGGGATGAAGAGCCGCCATCGTTGCCATACTGATCAGTTGTCGTGGCGACCGGGGAGGAAACGAAGTTGTTATCATCGTCTTCATCCAAGGGAAAGCGTTTCTTCGCCCTCTTGGTCAGATTGATACCGAACGTAGAACTTCGCCTGATGGGCGGGAGGCCAACAAAGGATGATTGGCGCTGGGGAGAAGTCTGCTGTGATGGAAGATGGTGTATGGTCTGTTGTTGTTGCTGCTGTACCGGCTGCTGCTGGACAGCCTGCTGCTGAACCGGCTGCAACTGCTGGGACGGCTGTACAATAAAGAGACCCGTTGAACTGGAACCATGAGTCGCGTCATGATCGTCCTCGTCAACCTCTCTGCTCGACTCCGTAGGCTCGAATGACCGCGGCGCCTGTGGCGGTGACTGAGGTGATACCACGTGAATCTGACCAGAGGGAGGCGACTGCGGCGACACAACGACCCAGTCGTCGTACGGGTCATCGGCCGTGTTTGCCCGCGGTCTTACAGCGGTGACGGTTTGTGTGGCTTGAGGAGGAGGAGGAGGAGGAGGAGGAGGAGGAGCTTGACCTTGGCCTTGACCTACATGAGGCGCAGGGGGGCTCGGATCCGTGGACTGTCCCATCTCAAAATCTTCCTCCTCCACCAAGGGCGTGCCCGTGAAGGGGTCCCATGACGGCTGAGTCTTGCTGATGGGTCGAGGAACCTGGAGGTCCCCTCCCACGGAAAAGTCGTCGCCGGGCGTGTCCTTGGCTTGGAACCGGGGCGTCGTCGATATGGAGTGCGTGTCCGAGACGGGGGACACCGGCTCCGAATCACTGTCTCCAGGGGGTCCGGCAGACTGCTGGGGCGGCGTATGGGGCCGCGGTGGGGCCCATGCCGAAGCTTGATCATCACTACCCTGAGTCAAGGTATCAAATGGGGATATACGTGAGGTCTGGGGTAGTTGAGGCGGTGGAGTCGGAGATGCCGGATGTTCCGGGATGGTCTGTGGAGTTGGGCCTGACACGGATCCCGAATGCGACCGTGAGTGGGCATGACCGTAGTTGTCGGCACGAGGCGACGAACGCGATCCGAGGCTTATGCCCCATGAAGTACGTCGCTCGGCTCTGGTCTTGGGTTGAGCCGGCGGGGGAGATGAGTCGCTCTGTCGGAGAACACGCAATTAGAGATGATTCACCATATAAGATGTCATGTGGGACTTTAGAGTGTCCGAGATCACCACAGGGGTTACATGATGGTGCAGTAGTAGAGAAAAAGTTTCGTAGCATTCCTTAATCATACAGTCCCGTCATTCTGGCCAGAAAGGGAGACACATAACTCATAAGTGATTACCAAAGGGGAAAAAGTGAGGAAGAAAAGTGAAGAAGAAAAAAGAAAAGCAATGGGAAAACGTGGTTGCTCGGGACAGATCAGACTGTCGATCCCTCCCAACAACCAGACTAGAAAGAATGCATGCCCTGTGTGATGTGATGATCCCAGTTGATAGGAATGTTAAAGAAATACCTTGTCCCCAGTGCCACGGAGTTTGTTCTTTCCCTTGCTCAATAGACCTTTACCCGCCTTGCCAGCCGCAAGCAATAGTCCCTTGCCCTTCGCCCCAACTTGACCGCTCGAATGCTTAAAATCACTTGAAGGCGAATGAGACGAACCAGTGGGCGCACTTCCCGCAGGAGGTCGACCCGAAGCTCCCGCCGCAAGGTTAGGGTTGCTTGCGTTGAGGTACTGCTGGTAGTAAGGCTGCTGAGAAGCCGGCTGAGAGGTTGTTGGCGACGACTGCGATGGACCAGGACCAGGAGCGCCAACTCCAAATGATGCAGTTGCGTTGGCGTGCTCAGGATGCTGAGCCTTCAAAGTTTCCAACCAGTTGTTCAGTCCCGAATCCATCGACGCGAATTGTGAGCGCGTCTCATTGTACTTTTGGATCCTGTCTTTCGAGTTGGAAAGGTCCATGATCTCTTTGAACGTCGTAATCTTGACAGGCTGCGTCGACTGCCGTTGAGGAGCCGCTGGAGATGCAGGCGGCTGGCCGGCCTCGGACGACTCTGACTCTGGCTCAGGCTCGGGTTGAACCTGGGCCAGGGCAGGATGATCGCCGGGCGGTGGGCTAGGGGAGACGGGATTTGATGAGACCCGGGCCATTGACTTTTCTTCCGCGAGCGACAGTCGGCGGGTGGGTGCAGCCGACGTAGTGTTTTTATCGGCCGTGACTGACACGGGTGACGGCGGTTCGATCACTTCGGAGTCCATGCGATCTCTCGGCGCCGAACTAACCTGCGACACTTGATGAGACATCGCGCCCGCGTCTTGCGACACGCTAATATGCCCATCGTCCAACCCAGTAGCGAGCGGCGTACGTTCGGAGTCGCTGGCTACGTCTGACTGCGCAGCCTGCACCTCATGATCGCCTTGTTTAGGAGGCAGGCTGTCTTCGCCCGCATCGCCAAGTTGGGGATGAGGCTCGGCGAGGGGGTCTTTGGTATCAGAGGCCTTTGGCGTAACCTGCTCTCCTCCTGCTTCCCATGAGAAGCGTCGACCAAGCGCGGGAGCCTTGTCCACAGCGTCTTTGCGAGGGCTCAAAGGAGGAACGTCAGAGATGTCTTTGTTGGGGGTAAGCGCCCTCTCTTGCTCTGGCTGCTGTGACGGCAAGCTGGGCACATCGGGTTTGTCGTCGCCTGCAGTCCAATAGTCGTCGTAGACGCTGTCGAGATAGGTGCTCTCACGAGTACCGCTGACGTCGACGGGCGGGCTGAGCGACTGGTGGTTATTGAAGTTGTTCACTTCGTGGCTTGTAGGGCGGACGGGACTGAGGCTGCGCATGATCTCTTCTCTCAACTTATCGCTCTCCTTGACAGGGGATGGGTCGGTAATGGTGCTCATGGTGGACTCGCGCTGCAGCCTCTCTGGCGTCGCAAAATCCAATGACGAGCTGCCTGATTCGCGAGGGTTCAAAGGAGCCGAAGTCTCCAGATCGGCATCCTGATCAGCACGACCCTCCATCTGAGCGGCCCGTTCCGAAGCTTCGGGGATGGGAACAGGTATGGATACCGTATCCTTCACGGTAGCTACCCCGCTGCCGCCAAACTTGTCGTCTTCGTTATCGGTGATGGGGGAAACTTCGCCAGGATCCACGCTGAGAATGGGCTTCCGGTCGGCAGTAGCAGCGGGCGTCGCAACGGCGGAAGTAGTCTGAGAATCGGCAATGGAGCGTGTTTCGGTGACCCAGCCTCCAGGAATAGACGGCCGAGTAGTTTGCGAAGGCAGACGAGATCTGCTGGATTCCTCCGAGGCTGGTGGTGTTTGGGATGGTGAACGCGACCTTTCTCTGCTGACTGGTTGAGATGCAGGCAACGATGAGTTGGTTGGCTGCGGAGTCGTGTTGATGATGGGAAGTGGAGACGTCACATCACCGGAGGTTGCAGCAGCATGAGGTTTATCCACAGCTGGCGCTTTCTCTGCCGTGGAGGCGGGTTCGGAAGGTTGCTTCTGGATCCGGGATGGCAAAGTCGGCATCGGAGGCGCTTCGTGAGCATACTTGTCTGGGTTCGAGAAGAAGTCGTCTCCGAAAAGGGACATGCGTGCCAGGTCGGGCAGTCGAGGGCTCGTGGAGTAGCGGCGGTTCTGGTCGGACTCTTCTGCAGTTGGGCGCTGCAACTGCGGTTCCGGCACACCCAAGTTGCTCTCCTGCATGCCTCCTGGAGGACTCAGTCGGCCCCGGTCTACGCCTTGGGCCTGAGGTTGTGCCAGAAGCCCGTCGAAGCCGTACTCGCTCATTCTCTCCGCGACCGGTGCCAGAATAGGTTGTCGTGTGGCATTGTCGACAACACCCAGTCCTTCGCCTTTATCCAAACTACGGCGCATCGTCTGCTGCTCACCAGCATCGACTACCGGAATTGTCGGGTTGGTAGCCGACACTGACGATTCACTCCTAGGACCAGTAGCACTGTCCATGCTTGGCCTTCCCGATTCCGTCAAGCCACCCTCCTTTTCCTTATTGTCGTCCATCCGGCGATAAATGTCCGACGGTCGAATAAAGTGCGCTGCTGTGGTGTTGGACGGCGTGCCCGGCGATTTGACATTGGAAGGGGACGCTGATCGTTGCTCCATCCACGGACGCTGCGTGGAGCTCGACCGAGAACCGGAAGCCTGGCGATCACGGTCTTGCTGTCCCATGCTGCTCTTACGAGGAGGGAAGCGGGCGGCTTGAGTTTGCGCCGGGGCCGGTGAAGTCCGTCTGCTTCCTACAGGAGGAGATGGAGTACCCCTGGGATATTCTGGGCGACCAGCGAACGGAGCTGGAACGGGCGCTGGAGCCGGTGCTGGAGCCGGTGCTGGGCTCATCCGTGAAGGCAGGCCAGCGCTGGCAGGTGGAGGTGGTGACAACACGACCGGTTCTTGGGGAGCCCTTTCGGGAGCAGCGTCCACTGAGGCCAGCCCTGACACGGTCGGAGGCGGCTTCACGTCGTCGACCACAGGCTGCTGCACCATGGGAGGTGCAGGCTTTGCCGAGTTCTGGATCTGCAGAGGCGGAAGTCCGGCAGTGGGCCGATGGCTAGAGGTCGGTCTGACTTCATTCACTGTCGGCTGCGCCGGTCGCATTGAGGGCGCAGGCTCGGCTGGCTGGGGAGCTGGTGCTGGCGGCTGGTGCGACGGGAGAGCTGCATTGATTGACTGGCCGGCTTGACGGTAGCCCGTGGACTTCAGCGGCGGCACGGGAACGGGATCATCGGCTTCGTCTTCAAAGTCGTTTCCCCAGTCATCGCCATCGTAGTTTTGGGTCTTGGCCTCGACCCATTTCTTGGTCTTGGTTCTCTTTACATTGGTCTTATAGGAGGCACTCGTCGGGGTATCCGGGCTTCTACAGATAGAATTGTGTGGTCAGTACCATTCTACAGAGGAACAAAGCCTAGTTGTGGTATGTTGGTGTGGACGCAAGCCAAGTGAAGCTGACGGGTGGAAGAAATCGAATCACTCACAACGGCGAGTTAGAATGAGGGGCCCTGAAGCCGTAATTATACGACGAGCCGTCCATAGCGTCGTTCGTTTAGGTGATGGTTTCGGAACCGTCTACTGCTTCATTGCTTGGATTCTCTGGCTACGATTGAGGACGTTTCAAGCTTCACCGATGACTCGGAATTGGGTATCGCGAAGCGCGCGGGTTGCGGTTGGTTTCCCGACGGGATTAGGTGGGTTGGCCAGAAACGTTGCGACGCTGGCTCCAGGTGCGGACTTTCGGATGGGATAAGGAGCACGAAAGTGAGCTCCAAGTTGATAACGACGACGAAAGTTGGAAAGAAAACAGGCGCGTCCCAAAAAGGCCAAGAAATCGTCACGTTCTGGCACGGCACAGTGACAGGAGGAACTGGGCTGATAATGATGAAGGTCGGCAGTCTGGCAAGGCCCGAATCTCGCTGGAGACGAGCGACCTGATGGGCGACGGGATGATAATTTGGGGGCTTGGGAACTTGGGAAGTCGGGGGGACGTGGCTTGGGGCGGGCTACGCAAGGACAGAAGGTACATGTACTATGGTGGCGAAGAGGGCGACAGCTGATGTACCTCGAGTCGTACCCTTTGATGAGGTAGCAGCGCGACCCAGCCCCAGCCCGCGCGATACGGTGCCTTGCCCTCATTGTCTATGGGGGGCTGTCGTGCCATCGACTAGACTCCAGAGTGATGACTGCCTGCCTCTGGCTTTTTTTGTTTCTGCCTTCTCGGTGCGGGAACATCTCATCAGCTGGGCTGCACAGTTCATGCGGGGGCCATCCCAGCGTTGTTGCATTGAAATGTCAATCATCAGCAAAGCAGAGGCGGGAAACTACTTTGACCACCAGTGCCACCCTTGAAGGACAGACCCGTTGGACGTGCTGAAAAAGAGGGGAATGAGCTGGGGGTGTGTTCCAATGGAAGCTCGAGGATGCCCGCCGACTGGATCACGAAGAGCAGGGATGTGTCGTAAACGGCCGCCTGGTCGAGCTGCTGTGGCTTGATTGAGCCTTGGAAGTTCTTGCCTGACTGCGTGGGTGACGGTCTCCTGCGTCTTTCTTGGATGGACTCGTATGCCTTGTGAGAGAGAGCAGGTTGTGTATGCAAGAGACCCGGACACAAGGCAAAGTTTCGTCACTGCGGCTTTGGTGTAAGTGACGCGAGTGCTACAGTTGGGGTTGCGCTTCGTTTGAAGCTGATTGATTCAAAAACTTGAATACTGCACATCAGAGATGCTGTGCTGTGGAACACAGTCAGCCGGGCCCCCATTTGCTTCGGCTGGGCTACGTCTCAACGCCGTGCAGCAACTTACTAAAGTGCACCCTCTCTCTGTAAGCAGAGGCACATCATTGCAATCTTCACATGGCACATTTTGATGAACATCTCCTGGGGGGACCTTTGCAAGAAATGCTTCTTCTATGGCAATAGGTACGTACTTACATCTAACTCCATCATATGACTGGAGGCACAAGTAAGGTATAGGCGCCCGGCTCACCCGAAGATTCCTAGAGGCAGGTACAGAGGTACATCAGAGGAGGTGCTGCTGCTTGGAAGTAAGGTACCAGAGGTACCACCTCACAGTGTGTGAGAATGGTACATGTATGCAGGTAACGGGGCGTGCCATGATTAGATGTGGCGGTGCATGCACAATTCCACAGGCCACGAGCCACATCTTCCAGAGCTCCCAACGGTGGCGCTTGCACAACGGCACAGTTCAGGCCCAGGGATTTGTTCCCGAAGGGATGGGCGGAGGACAGGTTGAAGTTCCAGTGCTTCCATTTGAGAGATGTATCGGACACCCTGGCCCCGTCCTGTCCCCTTCACCAATGATTCTTCTGCACTTGGACCTGGACGCCCCGGACATGGAACTCGGCCACGACGCTCGTTTGCCTCAACTAACAACTATACATCTCGACTTTTTCGATTTCTCGATAATTTTGTCGCCCTATCGACGACTTTAGAATCCGGACGCAGTATTCGACTCATCTTTCTGTCTATACCCAACACTCGCGCGCATTGTACAACAACAGCCTTTCTTCGCCAGCCGCAGCCACTGCCGCGCTCCCAATCGTGCCTGTCCGTCAATTTGACACAGCTCATTTCCCATCCCTGACCATCCACCTCAATCGCCAAACCCAGCTCGACGACAACTCTCCCGCATTCAAAGAACCCCTCAACGACCCCGAACGCGCTGGCCGCCACGCCCCCAGAAAGTCGTAGTCTAGATTTCAAAGTCGCCAACCGTCTTATACGCTATTCCACGATGGCGGTCGCATCGATACAGGACCGAACCGCCGAGTTCAAATCGGTTCTCGCTCAAGCGCAACGTCGACAGGCTTCCAGCAAGGTCGGCGCTCAACGACGATCACTCCTTACGGACTCCCAGAAAGCCGCCGGCGATGGCGACTCACGACCCCGGCGTTCCGAGTTTGCGCGCCAGGCGGCGCAAATCGGGAGAGGAATCTCGGGCACAATGGCAAAGTTGGAGAAGCTGGCAACATGTATGCGTTTGGATCCCAAGGGATGTTCCGCAATGATGACGGCCTGGCGCTGACAAGATTCTTTACACAGTGGCGCGGCGCAGAACCCTGTTTGACGACCGGCCAGTCGAGATCAACGAGCTCACATACATCATCAAGCAAGATCTGAGCGCCCTGAACCAGCAGATTGGAGGCCTGCAGGTCCTAACGAAGCAGCAACATCCAAAGGCCGATCAAGAGGGAGAACACAACAAGAATGTCGTCTTTATGCTGCAAGGCAAGCTGACGGACGTGTCGGCCAACTTCAAGGATGTCCTGGAGGAGAGAACCAAGAACATCCAGGCCTCGAGATCTAGGACAGACAACGTGCGCTCCAATCCTGGTGTCCGACGATATGTGCTTGTGCTAATGTGGATATGTGTTTGTTTGTAGTTCATCTCGAGCGTCTCGCAACACACGCAACCACCCCTTCAACAGTCAGCATCGCCGCTGTACGGAACACCCCAACGAGGGACGCCGTCACCAGGCGCAGATCTGTTGTCGCTGAATCCGCCAGGTGACCAGCAGCTTCTCATGATGGAAGAGGCGCAACCGCAAAACACGTATATCCAGGAGAGAGGTGCTGCTATTGAAAGCATCGAATCCACCATTGCGGAGCTCGGATCTGTAAGTTTTGCGATTTGACACGATTCTGGGATGGCATGGGTTGACGGGAGAACACAGATTTTTGGTCAGTTGGCGACGATGGTTTCGGAGCAGAGCGAGATGATCCAGCGCATCGACGCAAACACGGAAGACGTTGTCGACAACGTGCAAGGAGCGCAAAGAGGTGAGTTTCCGCAGGCTCCGTGCTACGGTGACACAGGCGTCCGCATGGTATCTGACTCTTTGATTGTAGAACTTCTCAAGTACTGGGGTCGTGTTTCTAGCAACAGATGGCTCATTGCCGTATGTCGTCCCCCTCGTCGTCGTCGTTTATGGGCAGCCCGATGCGACGGATACTGTTCACGCTTACTGACAAAATTGGGTAGAAAATGTTTGGTGTACTCATGATTTTCTTCCTGTATGTTCCCATATTAGCCTTGCCCCTCAAGATCGGGAACGCGTCACTGACCAACCTTGCAGACTTTGGGTCCTCATTGCCGGTTAGCAGTGTGCGACGGTCACGCACGAGGGCGACGAACGGCGGTTCGGAGGGTTAGGGCGGAACTCAAACTGTTCATTCAACAGGAGATGGATGGCGTTGAGTTGTGTAATATCAGTACCCTTCAGTTGTACCATGACATTGACGCTGGGACGGGGTGGACGCGGACTACGGGGGACGCAGACGCGGACGCAGCGCAGCTAAGAGCTTTCTTCCTTGCATACATCTAGATCTATTAATCACAAAAGAGGTTAACTTCGGCGAAGCATTTGGCGGGCGCCTGTGTCCCCACGAAATAAGTACCTTGGCTCGTGTTACCTTGGGCCCTTGAGTCGGGACGTCAGCGCCAGCGTGTGTGGATGAACGTGGGGGGTGGAGGAGCATAGCGAGCAGAAGTACAGGATACCTACGAATCGGTAGCGTTGGGAACACGCCAACTAACGTCAGGAACCCCGTTTTGAAGTGCCTCAGACTCTCCGTACGGTAAGGTAATTGGGGGAGGAGGGAGGGACGGACGGGGCCAGAGTAATGCGGCCAAGCGCCCGGACCTCGGGCTTGGTTCCGGGAACTTTGCCCGCACTTGAACCCGTCCAGCCCCCCCGCCGGAAACCGGCCGCTATGGGAACAAGACCAAAAGAAAAAAAGAAAAAAAAAGGAGAAAAAAAGGCTCCCCACGCTTTTGTCACTAACACGACACCAAGCACAACTCAGTGCCAAGTTTGGCATTTCCCATGACTCGGCCCAACAGAACCCGAGAGCTGCTCCGACGACCCAAAGAATTAATCCATAAATGGTAACACTCGGCCCACCAATGGGAGAGGGAGTCCGTATAATATGTTGTTGTAGTTGTACTATTGTACTGTATACTATTACCCCGTACGGTTTACGGGGTTTCTAGCAGTGACTTGACAAACTGGGGAAATCCACACGAAAGAGGGACAGCCCGGGCAGCTCTCGTCCCTCTCCCCGCCCGGCGAGCTTTACTTGGGGAGAGCTGAGGAGTGAGGACCAAAGAGGAGGGAGCGTCACAGGTGACAAGCAAATCGAGATCTGCGCAGCCTGGGAACTATGTAATAATGTACCTTTTCTGGCCGGTGAAAGAGAGGGAGTGTGGAGGAAAGTTGGAAGGGGATGCAAAGGCGGCATGGATTCGCGACACATCGTCGAGCATTTACCCGGCCATTTCTGATCGCGACACATCACCCTGATAGTCTCTCCTTGGCTCTTTTGTTGCTCTCTTCGTCGATATATATACCGAGATCACACACCCACCTCCTCCCGTCCCTTTCTTATCCCGAGTGATGTTTACCCCCTCTTCCCATTGAACCTTTTTTTTTTTTTTTTTCCCTCTCCCTCTTACTCCCGAGTAAAAGAGTTGTATGCTTGTTCTACTCTCCAGAACACTCCCATATCAAATTACCCCGCCCCCGCATTCTCATCCAGGAGTTGTCGCAACAACAACAACAACATCGCCAACCCCTCACTAGACATCACATTCACTCTTCAACAATCAAGATGGCTTCCCAGACTTTCAAGTTGAACTCGGGATACGAGATCCCCGCCGTCGCCCTCGGTATGTGACCGCCCTCACTCAGAACTCCTACTTGTCAATGAGAACCCACAACTAACGTCATCGTCCACCCCAAAAAAGGCACCTGGCAGTCCGCCCCCGGCGAAGTCACAAAGGCCGTCTCCTACTCCCTCTCAGTAGGCTACAAGGCCATCGACGGCGCCTACTGCTACGCCAACGAAGATGAAGTCGGCGCCGGCCTCAAGGAGGCCTTTGCCAACGGCGTCAAGCGCGAGGACATCTTTGTCGTCACCAAGCTGTGGGCCACCTACACCATTGGCGACGACAAGGTCAAGGAGGGCCTGGAGAAGAGCTTGAAGAGCCTGGGTCTCGACTACGTCGACCTCTTCCTCGTCGTATGTTTTTCTCTTTTGCCCTTGTCCTACCATGTTCAGCAAGTACTTACAAAACAACAGCACTGGCCCGTCGCCATGAACCCTAACGGCAACCACGACAGATTCCCCACCAAGCCCGACGGCTCCCGCGACATCATCCACAGCCACTCCCACGTCGACACCTGGAAATCCGTCGAGAAGCTCCTCGACACGGGCAAAGTCCGCTCCATCGGCGTCTGCAACTACAGCGTCAAATACCTCGACGAGCTCCTCCCGCAAGCCAAGGTCGTCCCCGCCGTCAACCAGATCGAGAACCACCCCTCCCTGCCCCAGCAGGAGATCGTCGACTACTGCCAGGCCAAGGGCATCCACATCATGGCCTACAGCCCCCTCGGCTCCACGGGCGGTCCGCTGTTGACGGCGGCGCCCGTCGTCAAGATTGCCGAGAAGCGCGGCGTCAGCGCCGGTACCGTCTTGTTGAGCTACCACGTTGCGCGCGGCAGCACCGTGATTGCCAAGTCTGTGACGGAGAGCCGTATCAAGTCCAACTTGGAGATTGTCAAGCTTGACGAGGAGGATTTGAAGGAGCTGAGGGCGTATTCTGATGATTTGACGGCCAAGAAGGAGTTGAAGCGGTACGTGTACCCGCCGTTTGGTATCGACTTTGGGTTCCCCGATAAGTCGTAGATTTTGTCCTTTTTGCCACATAAATAGAGCGAAAGAAAATAGAAATGATTTGAAGCGTACTTGTGCTCACAACGAATGTGTCGGTGATTGTTGTGAAGGACCTTGTCCAAATGATGGGTGATGTGAGGCACATATTTGCGTCGGGTGTACGCAGTTCTCTCATATTCTCCACGTCCCAACTGCCTCAATGGAATACTTCAATTCTTCACATCACACATCACCAGTCAGTCACCTCCAAAAGAAAAGAAAAAAACCCCCCCCCCCCCCCCAGTTTTCCCAAATTTGATCAAAATTCATCACTTTTTTATTTTAGTTTAATTTCCGCTAAAAAACAATTCATCTAATTCGACGTATCCACCAAAACCTTGAGCACCAGATTCCCGCTCTCATCCTTCACCTTGGCCGCCATGTCAAACGCGTCCTTGATGGTGCTCAGCCCCTTGTACCGGTGCGTAAACAGCTTCTCGAGCGCGGGCAGGCCCTTTGGTTTCGTGGCGATGAGGTCAATGGCCTTGGGGTACGTGTTGGCGTACCGGAACACGCCGACGAAGTCGACCTCGCGCAGCGCCGCCGCCGAGATGGGCAGCGTCTGGATCGGGGTGCCCATGCCGATGATGAGGATCTTGCCGCCTGGGCGGGTGGACTGAGAAAAGGAGTTCGTAGTCAGTACTTGCTGTGTGTAAGAGAGAGAGAGAGAGAGAGAGAGAGAGAGAGAGAGTGAGAGAGAAAAAGGATGAAACGTTCAGAAACAAGAAAAACGTACAAAGATGGCAGTCTGCATGCACGTCTCGACACCAGTACACTCATACGTCGCATTCACCTCGCCCACCGCCGCGCCCCCGACCTCGGCCTTCTTCACCAGCTCCGCGACGCTCTGCGCGTACGCGAGCTTGTCCTCGATGGTCTGCGGGCGCTCGGCGGGGACCACGACGCCCGCGTCCGCGAAGCCGTTGTCGAGCGCAAACTGTACGCGGTCCGCCTGGATGTCGGCGATGACGACGCGCTGCTGGTCGGCCTTGCTGACGGCGGCGCAGAGGAGGCCCACGGCGCCGGCGCCGAAGACGAGGACGGTGGAGTTGCTGGGCAGGTTGCCGCGGTCGCGGGCGTGCATTGCGACGGAGAGGGGTTCGGCGAGGGCGCCGAATTCGAGGGAGACTTCTGAGGGGAGTCTGTGTTTTTTTTTTCCGAGGTCAGTACATCACGTCTCGCGAGGAGGGGTGTAAGAGGGTTTTGCGCCGGGAATTTCTTACTTGTGACACCACTTGGCCGGGTGGTTCACCAGCTCCTGGAGGGTACCCTGGGCATGCGGGAACGCCTTTGCCGAGCTGCGGAACTTCATGCCCTTGCAGATGTTGTAGCGGCCCGCGGCGCAGAGCTCGCAGGCCTCGCACGGCTGGCCGACCTCGAGGGCGACGTGGTCGCCGACGGCGAGGTTGGAGACGTCTGAGGCGACGGCGGTGACGACGCCGCTGGACTCGTGGCCGAGGGTCAGGGGTTCCCGCACGAGGATGTCGCCGTTGCGGAAGTGGTTGTAGTAGTGCAGGTCGGAGCCGCAGAGGCCGGTGGCCTTTACGGCGACTTGGACTTCGCCTGGCGCGAGGGCGGGGAGTTGTCTTTGTTCCTGTTTTTGCTCTTCGTTAGATTCTTGGATTTGGGTTTCTGGGGGTTTCCTGAGTCTCTGACGAGAGCGGTGTTGGCTTACGATCTTGAGGTCTCTCGCGCCGTGGAGGACCGAGGTCTGGACTTGGACACTTGACATGGTGGGCTATGTACTCTTACTGCTGTGCGAGGTGTAGAGGGGATTCAGAGAGAGGAAAGAAGAGCTACGATGATATTGTAAAAGGGGTGGTATGTAAGTTGCGAAAATGATTCCAGGTGTCTGGAAGTTGTGAGAAAGTGGGCAGGCCAGGCAGTTATGAGTATGCTTTACTTTTTGGTCAAGAGCAGAGCACAAGGTACGTATGGTTAAACACAAGTCCGATATCGACGGATCGGAAAACGCGACTTAAGTCAAGCTACTGGGGTTGGACGCGAATCGGCGGAGGCGTGTGATGCAAAAACGGAAATGCGGGTTACGAGAGAGACTTGGTCGGTGGGGGGGAGGAAGCTACCAAGTCAACCGACGAAGCTGCTAGTTACGATCTATAGCCGAGTAAGGAATTCCCAACTCGGCTTGAGTACAAGTACGGCGAAATGCCCATCTCAATGGAATCGGCCCCCCCGCCTCCAAAGTTACTGGAACCTAGAGACTCGCGCGCGAGCTTCAAGAGTACTGCCGGCGCTGGCCAGTGTAGATAGTACCTTGTACGAGATGATGACACTTGCGACACTTGGACAGTGCTGGAAAGAGAGGGAAGACTAATAATACGGATACCCTCGAGGGAGAGAGCATTGTTGGACACGGTTCGTGTGGAGTTGTGGAGAGGCAACCGGTCGACATGACTAGGTAACTTGGACAGTTCAAGTTTGAGCTTGCCGGAAAGAATGCCGCGTCCGCCTCAAAAGACGAGGCGCATCGTGGATTGGTTCAATGGTGGATGTGGCGGGATGGGAAATCTTGATGGAAACGCGTGGAGGGGGCGCGGCGCGCAAGCGGGTGTGGAAAGAGGGGGAGGGGCAATCCCAATTGCCCAGTTACCAAATTCCAGCCTCTCAATCTCTTCCTTTGATACCCGCGGGTTATGGATACTTTTGTTACTCAACTCATACAAAAGGTGGAAGTGAAAGTTGACCCCCATCCAATATGGGCAATACACGCCGAAAAGTTCGGAGGGGATCCGTCGCGGGGGTTGGAGAAAACGGCCGCGGAGGCCAAACACGGCAATTCTGTCCTAAGGCGAGGACCTGGGCTTCCTTTGTACTGTACGTATCTTTCCCCTACAGTTTTATGAGGTACCCCAGGAAAAGCTAAGAAAAGGAACAGTTACAGTAAGCTAGGCCATCCCTTCGAGTAAGGTTGGTAAGACAGCCCGAGAGCAATCGAGAATTTGACAATTACAGCGTCGGTGATTCGCGAAAGACTCGGGTTCTGTCCCATTCTCATGCTCTAGTCCGGGCCAAAGACATCATTCTCCTCTTCGTCTCTCTTTCCCGTTGTCTTCTTCTCCTCTTCCCCACCCATCGTGACTATTTTTCGTGTCGTCTCCGACGTGCGGGGAGAAGGCCAGCGACTAATCCCACTTTACCGTCACCTAGCGTTTCTTTACGTGGGGGTACCGGCCCGAGTCTGCTGCTGGACACTGCCTAGCTGTGCTTCTCGCCCCCGAGTCACTTTCGACGCTTCAAAGTTAATCAGTCTTGGTCAATTCCATATTACAGTAAAGATCGCATGTTATACTCGGATTCTGCAGGCATTGATGGCACTTGAGTGAGTGCAAAGGGTTGATTGAAGAAGAAAAAATAAGAAGAAAAAAAAAGATGCTTGGAATCCAAAAGTCACGAAAAACGACGTCAGAGGGTCGCGGTTGGAGATGCCCCCTGAACCCTTGCAATGGAGGGGTAAAAAGAAAAGTATCGAGTACATCAGGTAGGTACCACGGTACCTTACAATACACCCGAAAATGCCCCGCACCTCACTCCAGCTTGAATCGTGAGACTCCCGCCGCGAATTGCCCCGCGTCGATGACTTTCCATGCCGTGGTGTCAGGTGTACATTATATATATATATTTTTTTTTTCCGTTCATTCCACTTCCAGTCTCGTGAGCATGAAAGACTTTGGTAACCACCGTCATGGCAGTTGTCCAAGATCAGGCTCAAGTAGCTAGCATAAGAAAGCCATTGGCTTGGGGGAAGAATCGGACGCGGTCTTCGTACAGGGGATCGTTCGGTGACTCGAGGTTAGCTTTGCCCATTCCCAAAAGCTTGTCCGTTTCGCCGGCCGGGAAAAGAGCACAGTACCTTTTAACGAGCTTGATGATCTTTTATCCGTGAATTCCCTTACCTAGGTAGTTACTGAATTACGAACTGGCATTTGCTCCGACCTCGCCCAATCAAAGTCCACTCACCTCAAACACCTCTCCATTCATATAGCTATCCACCCAGACGCATCTTCCCAAGCTTCTCTTCTCCCACTGCTCCCCCTTACGCTCGTGATACCCTCCCTCACCACACAACCTCACACACTGTTTTCCTCCCCCTCTCTGTCTGTCTGTCTGTCTGTCTGTCCATCATCCATTGAAATCCTCCAAAATGGCCTCCTCCTTCTTCTCCCTCGAAGGCCAAACAGCCCTCGTAACAGGCTGCACCCGCGGCATCGGCGCCGCCGTAGCCCTAGGCCTCGCCGAGGCCGGCGCAGACGTCCTCCTCGTCCAGCGCGACGAGTCCTCCCAGTCCACAAAGCAAGCCATCGAGAACCTCGGCCGCAAAGCGACAATCTACACCGCCGACCTGTCATCGCAGGAGAGCGTCGCCGCGCTGGTGCCGAAAGTCCTGAAAGATGGCCACGAGATTCGCATCCTCGTCAACTGCGCGGGCATCCAGAAGAGGCACCCGTGTGAAAAGTTCCCCGATGAAGATTTCAATGCCGTGAGTTTTTTTTTAGTTTTTTTTGCCACTTTCTATATATACAGACCGTCTGGACAGTGAGGAAGGATGGAAGATGAACTGACAAACCACAAAACAGGTCATGCAAGTCAATCTCACCTCCGTCTTCACCATAACCCGCGACGTAGGAGCCCACATGCTCACCCTGACCCCCCACCCGACCACCGGCCGCAAAGGCAGCGTCATCAACTACGCCTCCCTCCTCACCTTCCAAGGAGGCTTCACCGTCCCCGCCTACGCCGCCTCCAAGGGCGCCGTCGGCCAGCTGACAAAGTCCTTCGCCAACGAGTGGACGTCCAAGGGGATCACGGTGAATGCTATTGCTCCGGGGTACATTGAGACGGAGATGAACACCGCGCTGTTGAACGATAAGGAGCGCCTGGCGAGTATCAGTGCGAGAATCCCCGCTGGGCGGTGGGGTACGCCTGAGGATTTCAAGGGCACGTCGGTGTATCTTGCGAGTCGGGCGAGTGGGTATGTGAGTGGGCATGTTTTGGTTGTTGATGGTGGGTGGATGGGACGGTGAAGAGGTTCTGGGAGACGGAAGATACCCAGGCATGGAGAGAGCTTTCCACCGTCAAATGTTTAGATGAAAATAATGAGGAAAGGATTACCATTCAAGGCTGCGTTGGAAAGCCATTGTCACGAAACGAGTATTCCAAGTCTACCGAACCATACAACATTACTACAGCCAACACGACGGTTCTAATTACATCCACTGGGCCTAGATCTTGCTAGACATGACGCTCTCCATCCAAGGGTACACCGACCCGTTGGCCATGGGATACCCCATGTGCAACGCCCCCGAGAAGAACCTGGCCTCCTTGGGCGTGCCGTACTCGAACAGCATCATGGAGTCCTCAATCGGCATCAATCCATCCAGAGTACCCTAAGTTGGTGTCAGCCAAGTATCCCCACGACATATGAAATGAGTTTATGAACTTACGTTGATGAGCAGCAGACGCGTCGAGGGCTTCTCAATAATACCAGTCTCCAGCAGAGAAAACTTCTTCTGCACACCCGACTTATATTCCTCCACAGACTTGTAACCATGCTTCATGGCCATGGCGGGCGTCAACCTGTAGTAAACTCGTCAGCAACTCAGCCCCCAACAGAACTCCGAGAATACTTCACTCACTGGAACGGATACTCGTGGCCATCGGCCTTCTCCAGCCACTCGGGGTCAAAGAAGTAATGGCACCCAGCACCCTGCGCAATGGACCCGATCAGGCGGTCGCGGTGGGTATGCGCAACGCGGATGGCATAGTACCCTCCCGAGCTGAGGCCCCAGACCATAACCCGGCTGGTATCGAACCGGCCATCCGCGGCAATCCAGTCAAGCACGCTGCTCCACAGACGGTCGGGGCTCTCGGGGTCGGCCGAGTCGGCGGGGCAGTCGGCCGTGCCGGGAATCTCGACAATGACGCTTCCCCATCCGCGGGCAAGGAACTCGTCGGAGCGGACGGTGTTGTCGGGGCGGTACCCATCGAGACCCGTCATGAGGATCACCACGGGACTAGGCTTGCTCTCGGATGCACCCTGGGGCACTCTCACGTACGCCGGGATGGATTTCCAGTCCCCGCCCTTGGCGTGGGCGTGCGGGATGTCAATCTCGTCAATGGGACAGTCCCACGACTGCGCCGCCTTCATGTACGCGCGCTTCTGGGCCTCCCACGCTTTCCACTTGACCTGGCAGCTGATTTCGGGGTATGCCGTGAGGTAGGGGAACCGGGCGATGCGGTAGACCGTGCAGGCTCTGAGGTATAAGTCGCTTGCTTCCTTCTTGTTGCCGGCCATTATAGCCTCGTCACCCTTGGATGTCAGGGACTCGGCGATGGGAAAGAAGGCTTCCGTGTAAGCGGTGGAGTTTCCGTCATTGATGTTGTTCTTGCGTGTTGTGAGTCTCCTTTTTCTTTACTCTGTGTCTCCAAAAGCGGCTTACCTTGATTAAGTGTTCGAAAATGGGCTCAAAGTCCTCATACTGCCCATCGTGGAAAGGATACACGCTCTTAGTGCACTATATTAAACCAGTCAGCATGCGTGTCCCCGTCACTGGTTCTTGTGTCTCGCATACCGGAAACTTCCACTTGGTCTCCCAGAGAGCCTTGATGCCCTGGTGATGAGGCATGGTCCTCTCAAAGGCCTCAGTGCCCATCACCCACTGCCGCTTGCCATCCTGCTCCGGAAGCTTATGCGACGACATGATGTAATGTTTCTAGGAAACAACCCGAACGGTTCTCTGCTTCGTGAACAGTGGCAATCGACCTTTGGCGACGTGAATCGACTTTACTTTGCTGCTGCTTCGGCGGCGGACAACTTCTCGGCTGGAGGTTTTGCTTAGAACTCTGGTGGTGGGGTCAGCATATTGTCGTCCGGCAGACAAATTCGTTAGAGTGGAAGTAACAGGTGCTTTCACATAGTTTCGAGTGCATTACAATAATGGGGAAGTGACATAGCAATGGCGACTTACTCTGACTGAAGCGAAGCGATTCGCACGCGAACAATGGCAGAATGCAGGTCCTCGATCATGGTGGGAGACAGAATGCAAAGGTGCAGAAGCTAATTTATATAATCACGAAATGTACCTTGGATCTGCAGACGCCAGATGGATCCAATGACGACGCGCGCTCGGGGTTCTAAGGGATGGACTTGCAGACTTATGATATAGTTCGGTGGTGCTTTCTTCGGACTTTGGTAGTTGGGGATATCCGTTGTCCGATCGTGAGACGCTTGCGACTGCACGCCAGGAGGGGGAAAAAGGGGACATGGTGGCCGGCCGTCTTATACGACGGCGCCATGGTCAGCTCCCGTCAGCCATTTGCGACGAAGAGGCGCTTTGGCCACACATGTGAAGGATCCGTGAGGCGTACGAAGCACCCAAAATTGAAAAGCCCTGACTCTGACGTTTTGCCCGAGCTGCCTCACATTGCGGTGCGCCTGGTTGTTTGGAGGGGGAAGCTCCGATGAAGTGCGGAAGAAGCGAGAGGCGGGCCTCCGTGTGTGCGGTTTCGCCGCAACGATGACGGAGATGGCCGGAGGTTGTACAGCTTGGCCACTACCTGGATCCGGTCTCACTCTACTCGATTGCCATACCTAATCCTTTGTCAACTCCCGCGCCACTGCAGACTTGAACAAAGCATCCATTGCCGGAGCAGCGGGAACAGCATGAACTGCTACGGATACACACTGTTCGAAATGAAGAATGCGAGGGACCAGACGTCAGAGAAACCAACCCGATTTCAGTCAAAGCATGTGAAACGCGGGGGCAGCTTCTCGACGATCCGCGATTCAATGGCGGACGATCCGACCGGCCTGCCACGGGCAAGACGGCTAGACCCTTCCCATGCTGTAAGCTTCTGGCGCCGCAGACAGGCTCACCCTGCGTGGCGCTTTGAGAAGGGCCAAAGTATGTCACGAGTGCCAGCCACTCGGATGCGCACACAGGTTAGCAGTGATCTGAAGGTGGCCATAGTAAACGCAGTGGTGCAGTGCAATCCTCTCTGCGGCCGGACGAGAAATCGTTGGCCTGGCGACGGGACACCAAGGAAACAGACACAAGCCACGGCAGCGACTGCGCCGTGTGTCAGTAGCAAGCTAAAAGCCGTCCAAGTTGGAGACAAGTATCTGATGTGCCCGAACACGTCAAGTTTCGAGGTTGGTCAAATAATACTAGACGAATCTGAAATGGGGCGGAAGGTCTCAAGTAAGGGGTTTAGTAAGGAATAAGGATGCAGGTGGTTGATGGGTCTATATTCTTCATTACGTCGTTCTTCTGGTCTCCTCGAAATCGAACTAGACGCTCGTCTGATCTAGCATCTGGTATCTCTAGCCACTAGAGCTTCAGTCCTAGTACTCAACATCAGCAGCTCACCGATGCAATTCGAGCCTGTAGTACGAAAACGAACAGAGTCGAATCCGGGCCCGGACAGACGAAGCGGTCTGATATGGGACAGGACGACCGTTGTGGGAGAGTCGTGAGGCGATAAACAAAAGGCTACTGGGCCTTACTCTTGTCTCCCTCGTAGTAGTGCGCCATCTCGAGGCCGGCTCTCCTGAAGCCGCACTTGACGTAGAAGCCCTCGTTGGCCTCGCTACAGTCAAGGATGCTCTTGTAGCAACCGACCTTGGCTGCGATGAAGTCCAGGGCCTGGATGATGCGCAAGCCGAGCTTCTTGCCCTGCTGGTCCTTTGCAACGGCAATGTCTTCGATGTGGCCGACGAGACCAAGGTTATGGATGCTGTACGGGGGAGCAAAGGTCAGTAGGACTCTTGGAATACGTGATTATGGGTGGTTCAAACTGACAACTTGCGCTCGACGATTAAGGCACCGGTTCCGACAACGGTCTTGGTACTTGTGTCCTCAATGACCAGAATGTAGTATCCATCACTCTTGGACAGCCATTGGTAGCGTTCCGCGAATTGGGCCTCGCTAATGTCACCGACGGTGGTCAAAACACGCAGGCAGTCGAGGAAACCGGTCTTGTAGTCGGATTGACGAAGAGCACGCACGATGTAGCCCTCGGGCAGAGCAGCGGCGACGGTGGGGGAGACGAGGTCGTCGGTGAAGAGTCCGGCTTCGGCCATTGCGACTGCGATTCCGATGCGATTGCGACTACGGTACAGGAATTGTTCGGTCGGGATGGATCTATCGGAGCTTCTTCGCCGAGGAAGCGTTGGGCAAAGATTGGATCGACTGGCTGGGGAATGGTCGAATTGAGCTGTCGCTAAGGTACGTTACGCTACGATGCAACGAAAGACAGAGGTGCTCTAGTCGATTGGCTGGCGAAGCTTTCGTTGGGGGAAGCTGCAGAGAACGCGATGCGTTGAGGTGTCAGACTGCAGAGCGAAGCGGTGAAGATGTCGGAGCGAGGGTGCGATAGAGAAAAGAGAGACAGCGTCAGCGTCAGCGTCAGCGTCAGTGGCCAAGCGAGAGAGCAAGAGAAACTGAAGAAGCAGTGCTGCGGTGTGGACTGCGTATTGATGTAGGCGCGATGTTTGCAGAATTGCCCTTCCTTATCCGTCGGTCGGAGTGGGCAACCTGCTGCAAGTAAACACCCTACTCTATGGAGTACTGCGTACGAATACCTACCTGGCTACGTCGCCTACGGATACAGAGCAAGGTACCACGCACCTCAGTGAGGGAACACGACTGCGTCAACCAGGGCAGGGTGCCGGGGTGCCGGGGTGCCGGGGTGCCGGGGTGCCAGGGCAGCAACGTAGCAGCAGCAAGCAAGGCATCGCAGATCTGCATCCAGGTGGTTATTAACATCGTACCCATCAGGGGAACCCCTCGTTAAACCTGTACCTGTAGCTCCTGCGTCTGTAGGTACGGAGTAGTACATCTCGCTGCTGTGTAGATATGCAATTGAGCTCATCCTCAGCCTTGCGTCCATCCTTTCCTGAACCCCAAATCCTGTGGTTACGATGCATTTGAACCGAGATCTATCAGGTGTTCCACCCATTACTCCGTACCCAGGGTATCAAGTTCAGGTCCCAGGAACGAGTCGAGGCGTGGACCTTGAGCTGTTGCTCCGCCTCTGCATTCCATCAAAATGTGCCATCTCATTGGTCGCTGGCAGAGAGCTGGCCCTAATTAAGGTAAGCTGACGTGCGGTTCCCAGGCCCGTATCCGCCTGCACGGGACGATCTCGAGGCTTTTCAGCGTGTAGCTATTCATAGCATACGGACAGCCACTCTGAGAGAGAGTAGAAAACATTACCTAGGTACCACCCTACAGATACTTACAGCTTAGGTCTAACCCGCGACCATGGGCAGTAGGAGAAGTCGATGCTGAGAGTGCCACTGTCCTTACATATCGACAAGCTTCCTTGGCTCTGAAAGACAGCTCAATCTTTTGCAACCTCGGAACGTCGAGGCAATCCTGGCCACACTCGTCCGGGAGTTGGGATACCTACATCACCTCACATCTTCCCGCCCTTGGGCCTGTCGATCGCCGAGGCAGCAAGGTACCGGGCGCATGTCTGTCCCAACCATCAGGGCCAGCCGCCGGCCGAGGCACAGGTTGAAGCTGCAGTCTGCGGCTCTGCATATTCCGTGGATAGCGCATGTAGACAAAGAGGTAAGGCAGTCGTCGGTGTAAGGAAGCCACCAAGAGATTATAAACTCAATCGTGCCGCACGGATGTAGGAAAGAAGCAAGGGTCAAGCCACCGAGATACACATCTACAACAGAATAGCCATGTTTATATCTTCAGGGAGAGGTGAAAAGGGGGAAGAGACCGTTCCCGCTGGCGATAATTGGAAGGATGCGCCTCAACCGCCTAAACCGCCTCCCACGACGATGGAGTCAACTTTGACCCTCTTCCATGAGCGTATGTAAGGTAAGAAACATGTCTTCGTCACCTTGGCATTCCTCCCATCTGGAATGCCATAGACTCAGCTGGTATTCTACGCCTCAAGGGCGTGTGCAAACATGGCAGTGCCCCTCCAGTCCCCGAGACACTTCAGTGACTTTGGACCACTCACGTCACGTCAGAGTTGGATGACGGGCAACCACCCTCATAAGGTGCCTTGGATACAAGCTTATCGGTTGGATGGCAAGCGAGAATGAGACGCTAGAAGTGAGACGTGCACCTGCTGATAACGAACCTCTGCTTGTGGTCGCAGCCACCAGCTTCTACGGATACTTACTGCCCGTACTACCTTACCTCGAACTGGTAGGCAAGTCGGGAACTTATTGATCATGTATGCAACATAAACAGCACCGAATACAAGACGGACTGCTTTTGCTGTTGAGTGTAATCACTCGTGGACCTGTTGCAGAGAGTTGTGGAGGGGGGGGGAGGGGGGGGTGGTGAAAGACGAGCAGCAGGATCCGATGAACTTGTGTACTGAAGGTACTTGACGGCTAGGAACATCTTCGGGTTTACCTGGGCCGTGAAGCAACGCTTTGATACGTACTTCTACAGCAACTCACTCTCGCCGTTATATCATTCCCAAACGACAAGATGCGAGGGATTGTCTCCAACCATCTCAAGCCTCATGTACACATCCACGCAGTCTGAAGCACCCATCGGTATGCTAGGTCGGTAGGCATGACCGATTCGAATCACCAACCACGCTACCATCTTAGCTGTTGTGTGTAGCCCCTAACGCTAGCCTCGACTTCCCATCGGCTCGGGCAAATCCCCCCATCAGATATCTCGTCTCATCCCGTCTCATCCCATCCCACCACAGACGCTATCGAGTAGCGCCATACCAGTCAGCCAGACAAGATGGCATGTTATTCCTCCATACAGGCACACACACACCTACACAGACAGGCGTACTTTGCCTCCTCTATTACCCCGAGACTTGAGAGAGGCACACGCACATTCTACTCCGTACGAATACACAGAGGCAGAGTCACAGACTGACTACACTACCCCGGGCTGGAGAAACACACCCACACCCACAGAAAACAGGGCCTCGCCATGCCATCCCGTCCCATCCTACCTCACGCCGTCGCCGTCGCCGCCGTCGCGCGCATGAACATCCCCCACAAATTGTACCAGAATCACATGCTGCCCATGCTGCCACACTCACTTGCTACCCATCCGTACGGAAACAACCCACAGGCTACTCCTGCTCAACGTCCCACTTACTCCTATTGGAGCCCTGGCACGGCGGCTCAACACGTCAACCCGGTCACCTTTGCCTGAGCTCACATTGGGCTAGAGCACCCCAACTGATTTCATTCCACCGCGCATCCACGGCACCCTAAAAACCACCTTACGCGGCGGTACCACTCACTCACTGTACCGTACCAAACAAAGTGCTCCTCGAAACGCGGGTTCTCGCCTCTCTTTACACAGTTTTGTTCCCTTCTCACGGCCTCGTTCCAGGATTTCGTCATCAGCACAACACAAGAAAACACGGCATCGCCACGCCCGTTGCACTCGGGACGGGATCGTCGGTATATATGTCGACAGGGCAGGCCGAGGTAGTACACTGAAGCTTGTCTTTTGCCAGATCTACTCTATTCCGGTCGTTCCACAACCTCCTATACGCCTCTGTGTACTTCTGCGCTGCTCTGATCTTCCTACGGCTGAAGGTGCTTGAACGTTGCCACCATTGGTAGCACGCCTATGTTCCCCCCTTTCTAAACCACCTCGTCTCGTTCATCTCCCTTACCTTTACTACTATTAGTTGTGCTTCTTCCCTCTTCCTATTCTTTACACAAGCCTGTAACTTCTCTGCGCCTCTGAACGCCTCATTCCCTGCTTCCGTTTCGCTTCACCATTCCCCCGACTGTACGCTCCACATCCCCTATTGGAACCGAGCTCGGTCAAGGTCTCGAGTATAACATGGTTACTGCACATCCCGCATCACTTCAAGTCTAACGTCCGGAACCTTATCCCAACTCCACGTTGTCTGTCACTTGATGACCCGTGCCTCCTGCGCATGCGAACGCCCACTTCCCGACCTTCACTGGCCTCTGCCCCGGCACACCCGTCAGACACCATGGATACGGACGACGACTGGGACGGGGACGGGGACGGGGACGATCACTCTCACGGTCTGATCCACGTCCCTCTCGACTCTCACCAGGAAGGACGAACTGTGCTACCGAGTCCCATAGCAAAGGCCGTCAGTCTCGCCACTCGCTCAACATGTTTAGCAATCCGTGTTGGCACCCTCATTAGCTCGTACGGCTTCGATGCTGCCAAGTTCACCACTCTATCCAGTCTGGAGCTCAGCAGGGGCATACTCGAGGGAATTCTGAGCAGATCTGGGAGAGATATGCTTGTACGCTCCAACAGCGACCTGGGCAGAGAAGATGCAGAATCCGTCCTGGAGAGGAGCCTGGAGCATTTGCATAGTGCCATGTCTCAAATTGTTTTCTGGACTACGACCGGCTT